GGGAGAGAAAGCCTTTCTTATACCCTTATTAGCTAGAGAGATGGGGCTTGCGCCACTAAAGCTACTAGCAGGGGCTTGCCCCTGTCAAGGCTCTCTCCCCATCCTGTCTGAGCTTGCTGAGATAAAGGGCACCGTTGAGGGGGACCAACGCTAATTCATGCTAGGCTTAGCACACATTGAGTTCGCTTATCTGTCCAGCTCACTGATCCAACACGTTATCACTCATGCTAACAGCGCATGAGTGCTTTCCGAAAGAGATGACCGGGATGCTTGTCATCCCCTCACATGTTCGGAGGCTTGACAGCCTAGGCACGCTGTAGGCATTTCCCTGGAAGTGGGCGCCTAAGGAATACATATTGCGTCTATGCCTAAAAAGAAAGTCTATCGCACACATCTATTTACCTCCTCTTGTGCTGTTTAGAAGCTACATTTTCTGGCTTGATGAACCATGGCGAACTACAGACACTATGTTGGTTCCCGGAGTGGGTCCCGCTCCGGGCCGGGGGCTGGCCTCTTTCCAGAGCTCCGATCTGTGTGGCCGTGCTTGGAAACATTTTAGCGAACATTTGCATAGAGTGGCGACATCTGATGCTTGTTTCGGCCTCTTCCTCCACACCCAAATAACTAATTACTGCGCCTCCAGCGCAAGCTCCTGGCCAGAGCGGCTCGGCCGTCCTCCCTGCTAGCGATGGCAAACTATAGAGAGCTTTGGGAGCACCGCCACCTGGCCTTCCCGCTTCTAGATTTCCCTTAAAATATTAGTCCTACCTCGGCTGAACGTTTCCCCGAGCCGTCCAATGACCGCATAGCTTAGCAATCGCAGCTGAACCACCTGCATCCACAGCCTCGTCAAGCTGAGGATGGACAACACTCATCTGAGCGCAGGTTTGCTTCCTTCTGGCGTTGTGCACGTTTGTTTATCCCTCCTCCAGACTAACGCTTTCGTTGACCCCTATCCATATCTCCAACCATGCCCGAAAGTGACCTTCGCCTGCTCGCTCTTGATGGCGGTGGCGTCCGCGGCCTGTCGACGCTGCAGACCTTGAAGCAACTGATGGAGATCATCGACCCGGAATCACCGCTGAAGCCTTTGCGACTACTTTGACTTGATCGGGGGTACCAGCACTGGCGGGTCAATAGTGACTGCCCTGCCATGCTGAATGCACCGCTGACGAGAAGCACAGGCTCATAGCAATCATGCTCGGTCCGCTGCGCATGACGGTCGACGAGTGCATCGACGCTTACGTGTCGCTGTTGGACCAGATCATCCAAAAGCAGCGACACTGGTTCACGATCAAGGGCCAGGTCCAAGGCCGATTCGATTCAGGTGAGCTAGAGAGGGCAATTAAAGAGATTGTTGCGAAGCAAGGCCTAGCAGATGATGTGCTGTTGAAGGATGCCTCGGGTGCGAAGTGCAAAGTGTAGGTAGCGGTCTATCCGCGCAAGGCTACGACGCCATCGACCAGTTACCCCAGGTTCGCGCGTACCACCAGCAGCGACACGGGCGACACGGTGCGGCCGACCAGCTATCGCTCGACTAAGACATGGGAGGCAGGCTGAACGATGTCAGCAGCCTCATCTTTCTTTAATCCCATTACTGTTGGCGATTTTGGAGGGGTGTTTGTCAACAGAGCCACAGGAGCAAACAACCCAGTGCATAAGGTGTGGAACGGCCTAAGACATGTACCCGCCTGGCTCGCTTAAAGACAAGGTTAAATGCTTAGTATTGATTAGGACAGGCGTTCTGTTGCTTACGCTGTTCAAGGGCGACCTCATTAGTATTAGCTAGAGTCTGCTGGCGATTACCACAGAGCGGAGAAGACGGCGGAACCATTTACATGGGACAAATCAAGACTAGACGAGGCAGGACAACACTACCACTTTAAAGTGCTGAGAGGACTAGAGGATATTAGGTTAGAGGACTTAAAGCGGAAGAATGCAATTATTGCGGCAACAGACTAATATGTAAGGACGGAGCTCTGTACCACTGCGCCAATACAACCAAAAAGGTGCGAATAATCAACCAACAGTTGATTCTGCGTACAGAATAGTATATATACCCGTCGCGCGTAAGGACCATCTCGGCCTTACAGAAGAGAAGTATCTACTAAGCTGTTGCATACCTAAATGTTAAGGTTATTCTGTGTACATAATATAGGCCTGTATAACAAGCTACAGTAAAGGGCCTCTTATAGGAATAGAGAAGGATTAGGGTAACATCTACAGTAAACTTTACTGTAGGGAGATTGTGCCTGTAGTGCCTATTTTTATAGAAGATAGAGCCATATCTTATACAGCTAGGAGGACTTAAGCTCTGCACTGTAACGATTCGCATGAATCGTTCCATTCAAAGTTACCTGACGAACCTACATCCGAAGGTTCCGCGTATCTGCCCCGACCCTGCCCTGCCCCCTGCGCTACCCCTATCTCCAAGTATCTAGCTGCACCTCTCCCCTTAGCTAGCTTACCAGTTTTCTGATATCCTTTCGTACGAGGCCTATAGGTGTCAATAGAATTCCCAGGTTTCTGAGTCCCCACGCACTCCCATATGCCTCTGAGTGGATTCACACCGCATTCGGACCCATTGCCTTGCCTGCGCCGTTACATACACAATAAGCTTAGAATCCTCTGTATAGTATAGCTAGCTAATTTACCTAAGTTAAACCTAATTAAAAACGTATAGAGGATCCTAAAGGATTGCATCAGCAGGAGGTTTCTAAAAAGAAGTATATTAATATGCAGAGGAAGATTAGAAGCTTAATCTATCTAACTTTCTAAAGTATGTAACAAACATAAGAGAGCGCTGCATGGCTGTAATAGAGGCAGGAGGAGGCTATACAAAGTAGTGAAAGGCCTCTAATTCTCTATATTATTAAAAGCACACTTGGCAGAATTAAATCCTTAATTAAGAGCATTAAAATCGTGAGATTCATCGTCAAATTTGGCCCCTAAGTGGCGTTGACAGCCGGGGGTTGTGGGAGGGGCAACCCGTACATGAGCCCCTTGTAGATTCGGGAGCGCCAAGTTTTTTCGAGACCGAAGTGACGAGCGTTGGATCGCAAATCGCCAAGGACAGCCTCGTTTAGTCCCCGGTATTCGACACCGAGTGCCTGGTTCCAGATTCATCTAATCTGATCGTGGTGACTCGGGGACCTCTTTGCGCCCTCCTGGCTAGAAGTGGCGGTATCTGATGCCAATCTCAACCTCCTTCATCTACCAGAACGTGTTCAACCCCCCTCACGCAATCTGAGCGGGTAGGTACCAGGAGGTTCGAGCAAAATCTCTAACCATATTAAATCTCGCCTAGACCCAGAACCAGGCACCGGGAACGGGATCCAATGTAGGAACCAAAACGGGACCATTAGCTAACTAGGTACGACCAAGTTAATATCCAAAGAATAAGAAAGGCACTATGTATGCATCACTTCACTAATTAATTAACAAATAAATGGGTATATACTAAGCCTTTATCGGCTATGCGTCTGCTAGAACAATATCATTCAGGTTTCAGTCCCTCCAAGAACCACGGGCTATATATCTCCTCCACCCATTTAAATATCACCCTCAACGCCTCCAAGATAGTATAACATCCAATAATATCGGCCGTAGTGCCAATATCCACAGCATCAATAAGATGAATCTCATGTGCTAAGTCACTGGCAAAGTACAACTTCCAGCGCGCGTCCACAACCAAGAGTAGAGGGAGTGTCATAGACACAGGATCCTGGATGAGCTGGCGCAGGCGGTTGAAGTAGGCCATTGTCCAGACGGATAGTTGCACCTCCCCGTTCTCACTACCGCCGTCGGGGGATTTTGTCTCGATGCCAAGAACAGCTGGTTCGTAGCAGAGGGGAGAGTAATCGGAGGGGTTGCAGGTACGCTGAAGTTTTCGGGGAGATGCAGTCAGGCGGTTGATGACGTTGGCCGTAGGTATTAGCGGAGGACCAAGGGTAACAGCAAAGTCGATCATCTTGCCCTTTAGAAGCTCGCCGTATTCGTTGCCTGGCACAAGCTCCTTGATGACACGCGCAGTGGTGATGTTGTAGTACGAGAACCCAGGGCGACCGAGCACAGCTTGCTTCAGCATCTGGCTGTGCACAAGTTCGTTCCAGCTCGGTTCGTGGAGGTGCTTCGTTTTGCATGCTGAGGTCTCGTTCCGAATGTCCCGCATGCCTTTGAATTCGTCCTTCAGTTCTTCGTGCGTCTTGCCGTTCGGTGTCTTTGCCATGTAGTCCTCCAAGTCGTCAAGGTCACCGTTGGAGTCCTGTTTCACCTCAGTCTGGCGAACTGTTAGCAACGAGACTGCGATTAGTGTTCTTTGGAGATGTACCTCGATGCCTAGCGGGATGACGCCTTTCGATCTCCTTGCCAGCGCTTGAATTGTCTTGTACAATGTTTTCACATCCTGAGGGACGTCTGTGCTTGATGTCGCCGTCTTAGAGACCACGGGCTTCTTCGCGACTTTAAGATCGACCATGCGGCGGGTTGGGCTGCGCGACCGCTTCGAAGTCGTTGATTCATGGGCAGACTCAGCTTCTGTATCCTCGCCTGCTTGCTCCTCGGATACGCTGGGCGTCAGTATCGGCGCTGGTCTGGTGTGCGGGTCTGGAATTGGCAGCGCTGGAGGAGCTACCCGCTTCTGACGAGTCGGCCGTGGTGTCGTATTAGGGTCTATGACATGCTGCGTTCCAAGCACAATATGCTCCACTGCCGCTATGACATCCTCCACCGGTGGCGCCTCCTTCGTTGTGATACGCGCCTTGCCTGCCGTCCCAGTCTGCCTGCTCGACTTCCTCGTTGGCGACCGCTGCGACATGACGTGCGCTACAGCGTTGAGGCTTCGCTGTCGCTTTTGATTCGGCGGATCGATCTCGGAGAGCACAACGCGTCGTCGTTTCGGTCGTGCGAAAGATGCGCATATGCAGGAAGGTGGAGAGGCTAGGTAAGTCTCAGGTGCGGGTCGCCTTCGAGGCTTCTGCAAATACTCAGCAGGGATTTCGGGTTTGGGTGGCGGCTCCAAATCGCCGCCTGCAGCGTGGACGTCGGCCAGCCATGTGTTCGTGCAGTCCATAGGCGCAACGATGGGGAGGAAGCGGAGCGATACAATGGGCGTTAGGTGTGCATGTGTTCGGAGGAATATGCGGGTGGAGAGAGAGACAGTAACAGAGAAAGAGGGAGTCCTTATTGTGATGTGAGTTGTTGCGGAAGCTGGTTGCTGGGCCAGGAGGTTGCAGCTCGGTCATACACGCTAAAATCTCGCTTGTCGGCTAAATTTCGGCCAATGTATCCAAAAGCTCGCGCGACACGGGAAAACTTCCTCCAAACAGCACCCACCACTACGTCAGGTCGCAGCCTTAAAACTCTCTAAAAACTCTTTAAATTAAGCGCTATTTCTATCTAAATAGAATTCTTAAACCCCTATAGCAGCCTAAGTACTTGCGTAAGTCCTATTCCCCTTATTATTTAGCTTACTTACTTTTAGGTAGCGCCCTACTAAAAAGTAAGAGCTTAGATATTGTATCCTAATTGTATCTGCAGTAATCCTACATTAATTATTGTACGCTCTATTATTTGCTGCGTTGTGTTCTAGATTAGGTGCAAAAGACAGTACATATAAGTACATTTAGGATATAATTCCCTAATTTAAGTTTATACTTAATATTATCTAGGATAGTGTCTAAGACAAAGAGATGCAACTTTTTATTAAGAGTAAAGAAAGCAGTGTAGCTGCTTAAGTTATCTAAGGCTTTAATTCTTTATATACTAAGTGTTAGTGCTAAGTTAATAATTATAGAGTAAGTAAGAATTAACTCTAGATATAATTCTTACCTTAAGTAATGTATTCTAATTATATCTAGCACTTTATCTCTAGTTGTTCTAGTCTACCTAAGCATGTTTGCAAAGCACATGCTCTGCTAATTATTAGAAATTAAGCTAAAAGACAGAAGAAAGCAGCTAAACTTTAGATTATTAAAGGTATACATTCTAGATATAATTCCTAAATTTTAGTTATACATTCTAATTATATCTAGATACGTACAAGGCAATTATAGAGACTATTTAACAGGCAGCAGAGAATAGTGACAAGGATGCTAGGCTTGCTTTGCGTTAGAATCCTGTATGTTTTGCTACTTATAGGATACATTACTAGAATAGCACTAATTATATCTAGCTGCTAAAAACTTAAAAAAAGATTTACGCAGATGCCTGCGCAAAGAAGAAGCAAGTTACTGCTAAAAAAAAGGTAGTTAAGGCAGCTAAAGGTAGTATAACTAAGGTAAGATACTTTTTAGATATATTTTCTAAATTATATTTTAATTATATCTAGTATAGAAAGAAGGTTAACTTAGAGGATAATAACTATAATCTAAATAAGGACATAAAGGTTAAAGATAGTAAAGTAAGTTAGTTTTAGATATAATTTTTAAATTTATATCTTAAATGTATCTACACTTACCTTTTTAGGCGTTTAACTATAAGGTTAGCTGTGTTATTTGCTATAACAATCTTAAAGTAAGTATTATTTAGATATTATATATAAAATATATCTAAAAGTCTTAGTCTTCTAACAACCTGTTTACAATCTATGTTGCTAAAGGTGTAGAGATGCCTATAATTCTAGGCAAAACTTTTAAGGTATGTAGATATATTCTAGATACATTACCTAAGTTTAAATACTAATTATATTCTAGTTACCTAATATCTTAGCCCTACTTTATATTATTTCTGTTTATAATAATAGTTATAAATCTCTGTGCGTAAACTGCAGTAAGGTAACTAACACGCGTAGGGCTTATAAGCATAAGTGTTCTCTGTTTAAGATATAATTCCCTAAATTTTAGGTTATGTATTCTAATTATATCTAGAATGCACTTTTAATAGGGCCTATGCTAGCTGTGACTACTTCCCTAAGTAGGATGTACCTGCTAACTAGTATACAGGCCTAACTCACAAGGGTATCCTGCGTAGGCACATTTAAGCAGATAAGGAGTAGTTCTAGATACAATTACTAGATATACATAAAAGAAGCTATAAGAATTTAATTTAGATGCATTACCTAGGGTTTTTTTTTTAAGCAGCTTAAGCTACTTTTTAAGGATAAAGATTTTATTTAGATATAATCTAAAGGATTTTTTAAGCAGCTAAGGCTGCTTTTATAAAAGGTAGATTTATTACAGATACAATACCCCTGCATTAACTTAGGTGTTTTATTAAAATATAATTCTAGAGCTAATAGCTTTCTCTAACCTAAAAAGTAATTTAAATGCAATACTTTGTTTTTAATGTTTAGAAAGTAAACTACTTAAAAGCTAAAATTAATATAATATTAAAACTAATTTATATTACTTAATGTTTTAAAAGTATTTTTTAAAGGTCCTAAAAGTAGTTATTTATATAGTTAATGTTTACTTAACTGCTTTATCTTTAAATCTAATAATAATTATGTTAAGAATAATACTAATAGGTATAAAATAAAAAGCGTAGGTGTATATTATAATGCTAAACATAATTAAGAATATATTATAGATGTGTTTATAATCTATTTAGCTACTTATATCTACTTTTGTTATCTACATCTAAGTCCTCTATAGCTAAGCTTATTGCTAGATAACACTCCTTATATTAAATCTTAAAAGCTAGGAGCTCTATTTAGTGTTTTTTAAGCTTAAACTGCTGTATATCCTATTTATCTACCACAGTTAGTAGCCTTAGAAGTGACCCTTACAACAGAATGTAGCGTAGCTTTAAAGGCAAACTAGTTAAGCTAGTAATAAGGTTAGCAATGCATTTAAAATGTAATTTAGTTGTATCCTACTACTTCTCTAGAGAAGGGACACATAGAGACAGGGTAGATCTAGAGTAGGTAAGCAATGTATCTAATATGTATCTAATATGTATCTAAACATACCTTGTTAATTTTAGAACGCAAGACAGCAACTTAGCAGACAAGACAGACACTCCACAAGACTTAATTAGTGCCTAAGAGCTTTGTTTAGCTAGCTAACCACAGCAAGCACTACCAGGTATATTACTGCTTAAGGTAGCAGTAAACAGCACCTAGTCTTTACCTTCCTTTATAAGATTAATTTCTTTTATTCCTATAATCCCTTACGCTGCAACACGCTCTAGAATGTATTAAGAATTAATTCTAAATACATTTTAAAAGCTTACTTACTTTTACAAAGCATATGCTCCTTGTACTGCTTATTTATTAAGCAATTACAGTAGGTGTGGGATACACCTTTGTCCTAGGCAGTACACTCCTCTATAATACATTAATCTATAGACTAGGCCCTAATTAGAATGTAATTAGTATGTATTCTAAATTAAATTAGAATGTAATAACAAGTAGAACGTACCTAAAAACTGCAGGCAGGAGATGCTGCTAGGTTCTATAAGCATAAGACACATTTACTGTCTGCTTAACACTATTAGTGTGCAGGCGTTGTTAAAGGAAGTTAGAAGTAGAAATATTAGAAAGATTTAGATTTAATCTAGTAGTAATTATAAAGTGTTTTTTATAGCAGGCCTACTGCTAAATTAAATTACATTTGTTCTCTAAGATATAATTAGCAACATTATAAAATGCATAATAAATAAATTCTTAAAATATACTAATTAGCAGATCTAGGATCTAGTAATATTTAGTAGCTAATGCCTCTAGTATAGTAACTATTTAGGTATAAACAGAGTAGCAAGTCTATCTAGGCCCAGCAGCTCTCTTAATACTACGCCTAAAGTAGACGCAGCAGAAGATAAAAAGTTGCCTTACTTACTACCTCTAATTATAGCTGTACAGATTAATAGACTAAAGCTAATGTGTAATACCTGTATATAATTAGTATCTATTCTTATTAGTTTTAGCATAATACAGAATGTATCCTATATCTACTTACTAGCTAGTTGCTTCCTATCTATATTAGCAACTAAGGCTATTAAGCCTTTACTATGTAAGTATTAGAAGTAGAGTTGTTTATTTATTATCTTAAAAACAAGCTTATTAATACACGCTATTATACGCTAATAAGTAACACGCCTAGCGCTATTAGTAATAATATAAAAATATAAAACGTCTAGATACATTAATAATACATCTAGAATGTATATAGATCTATAACTTACTCTTCTTATACTTTTTACTTTATAATACAGCAATAATCTTATTAAAGGCGGCGTTACAGATACATTTAAAAGACATATTAATCTTAAAAGACTCTTATTAGAGTAAAAGCTTAATCTGCTGCTTATAGCAACAGATAATTATAACCCTATTAGTATCATTATAGTAGCTTTAGATATAGCGCTAGATATATTAGAAATGCATTTTAAATGTATTTATAAAATATACTTACCTCTTCCACTAGCAAGAAACGCTGCTGATAATACTTAGCTAGTACACCACAGGTGGTCTTGCCTTAGGGATAGGCAAGTAGGCGTTCTTAGTATAGAAGACACCTAATTTAATCTTTATTTACAAAAGACTAGTAAATCTAAGAGAGAGTAGCTACATAGTAGTTATTATAAAATTAATAAAGCATTAGGCTCTGCAAGAACTAGGCTATAGCAGTAGGTTTAGTTCTAAATACATTTTAAATACATATAGAATGTTTTTACTTACTAAGTGTTATATTAGGTGTAACATAGTTAGCTATTACTCTAACTAAATAATTAATAACGTCCTCTAGAGCATAACTAGGAGAAGGAGGGCAACTAATATATGTCCTAAATAAAACAAATATTGTAATTAGCTTATTAATCTAGTTATTAAAGATAATAAGGTAAAAATAAAGAGCACAGCTGTTATATTAGACTATGTTTTCTTAGCCTTGTAGATAGTTAATACCTAGATACATTAAAAGTTAATTTAGAATAGATATATAGCTATTCTTTAAATAGACTTACTGCACATTTAGCGCTTTAAGATGCTTAGCTTAACAACACTACAGTATTTAGGTGCCTCTTAAGGTACCTTAACACTACGCACTAACCTTTTTAAAAGAGGCTTATTAAAGGTATTAGGCAGAAGCTACTTATAGAAGTGCTTACTACACTCTTCTAGAGCTGCGTAATAGTTCTTATAGGCTAAGTAAAAAGTTAATCTGCTATTTAGGTCCTAGATATATTAGAAACTTATGCTAAATGTAATAAAAGTGTTATAAGAATATATTTAAAAGTAGGCTTACTAGAAATCTTAGCTACTTAATTATAAGCTTACAGCTCTCTACTTATAAATTATAAGCTTTATATATGTTAAACTTAGTCTATGCCCCCTAGAAAATTACTATAGATTTACGCCTCTTTAAATCTGTTTTTAATATATTATTAATTATACAGAGCTTTGCGTAATAAGCCTACATTAAATCTAAAATCTATTTATATTACATGTTAGATAGGTCTAGATGTAGGTATTCGCAGCCACAGAATCCTGTGCACTAATATTCAGCACAGAGGGCATTACACCTAAGGTAGGGTAAGTAGACTAGGCAGAACAGTAAGACAACTTAGCACAAGAATTAGTAACCCTAATATAATAATAATACATTAGTAATAAATTTTTAAAGTATTCTTAAAAAATTAGCTGCTATAAGTACCTTTAACATTAATATAGCTTACTGCTAAGTAGAGTTATTATAATTAAGTACATAAGCATACCTATCTAGATGTGTATAGGGGTATTTAAGTAGGATCTAGCTACTGTCTATCTTATAGGCAATAATAGAGTTAACGCTTTTAGTAAGTGCTAGCTATACATTATCTTTCTTTTATAATACACTTAGAGTACATTTTAAATAAATAATAAATGTATCTTAAAGCTTACTTACTTATACATTAAGGCCTATAGGCTTAACTTCTAGCAGGGGATAGCTACGCTCTTTAGCAAAGGCCTTATTCTTATCCTTAATAATAAGGTTCTGCGTATTAATAGTAAGATTGTTAACTAGGGTTTAAGCTTACTTAACTAGGCAGTAGTATTGCTAGATAACTTCTGTAAAAGAAGGCATAAGAGAAGGTACAGTATTAAGAGACATTAAAAATACAAATTGTTAAGTTTCTAGATATAAAAAGGCTTATTGCAATTGTATTCTAGAATGCGCTAGATATGCTCCTAATTTATAATTAAAATGTACTTACACTGCTATTTACGTCCCCTGCTTCTGTTGCAGGGCTATTACCTTTTACATACTAGCTTTGTAGCTAAAAGATAACCTTACATATACAAAAGTTAAGCTAGACATAAAAAAGTTAAGCTAGATACAAAAAAGTTAAAAGCTAACGCAACACTTTCTGCTTTTAATTTCTAACGCTTGGCTGCTCAAGCGAGTTTTTAGCGTGTATGAACGAACTGTACGCACCTGGGCCAGCCTCAAACAGCCATGCCGAGGTTCGAGCTATTCCAGGGCCCGTGCACAGCTTTCAGAAGGAGACCCCCACAAAACACCCCCTCCCAAAGGACCCCCATTCACTATACCGAAGTCATCTAAGAAGGCCCTAGATAGCAATTTGAATGCTTACCAAATGCCTCAGATGTGAATGCAATGTCATCGTGTTCAAGTCAGGGTAAAGTCTACACATCTAGCCCGAAAGTTTAGAAGATGGAAACGGTGGGAGGTTACAGTCCCAGCTATTAACCAACATCCTTCCCTATCCCCATCCAGTATGGGCCTACATCGGGGCACATACCCTGCCATACCAGTTATGCCCAAAACCCCGTCCAAAGAGTGTGCCCGGAGGAAGAGAGGTAGGAAGGCGGACAACAAGCGTGGTGGCAGTGTGGAAGCTTCTTAAACACCCGAATGACAGGGAAAGGCTTGAGAAGACGGGAATGGAACTTTAAAGCAGAGTCATAGTAGGAACAGATAGTTGCCCATTCTGAGCTCGTGGAAGGTTGGGCTTGGTGCGATGTGCAATGTTACTTAGTGTGAGTTCCGGTTGAGGGGAGGTATGAAAAGGACTTTCTAGATCAAGGGTTGACAATCTAAGTCCTGTAGCAGCCATAAATAAACTCTAGCCTTTGCAAATAGCTCCAAAACAGAATAATTCTGGCATGTTTTAGTATACGAAGTTCAGAGCTGAGGGGCAGCCAAGCCTTGCATCGCGTTCCATTTACTCTTCCATTAATCACACATTGAGACCTACTGAGCCCGAGCAAAGATCGACTTAATTAGCCAAGCTTCGAGTAAACTAAGTCGCTAAGCATCCAAGAGCACTCATAGCGCCATATGCACTACAGCAGTTTCGCAGAACAGAATATGCCTCTTCATCCTCACAATCCTCACAGGCCTGCCCAATCCTACTATTGATGGGTGTTCTAGAGTTATGTTAGACAAGTTAAAAACAGGAGGGGAAACATACTCTAGGATACGGAAAAACAGCTCTCCCTCAAAAACTTGAAGTCTGTAGGCAAAGGATTCAACATCGCGAATGTAGAGCCAGAACAAAGTGTTACTAATATCACTATCCTTTTCAGCCACATCTGCATTGTCGCCTTCGAGAGAGCTCTCAGGGATCTGCGGAAGCCTGCCTTCCATCATCAAGAACTAGAAAACTGTTAATATATCCCATAAAATTATTAGAGAAACATACAATGTGGCCATGTCTGCCAATTCTAGCAAAGTCATCCGGAGACTCAGTGAAGAGATCACCCTTATCCTCATCCTCTGGTACCAAGTCATCCGTTGCAACAATTGCATAGTCCGCAACAGTCTAACTCGGGTCCAAGTGCAGCTCAAATACCACCAAGCAGTCGTATTTAACGTCACCTATGATTCTATGATAATGTTGTTAAAGCCAGTAATGAGTCGGGTGGTCAATTTATCTACACTTTTCGCAGATATGGTGAAGCAGTATATTCAAAGAGGAGCAGGTAACACGGGACGATTACCTGCTGTCCTCGGAGGAATCCGACGTGAAGAGACTGCCGCGTCGGTCGGGGGCCGCTCGCAAGTTTAAAGAAGCAAAGTATTCGAAGAGGGGCAGGGAATCAGGCCGACACGGGGAGTGGAAAAGGTGAGGGACGGGCGCTGAGGGTGAGGTCAACACCCTGGATGCGACTTAATTATATCTGAAAAGGAGGCCAGAGAGCTGGAGTGGAACCCACTGCAGAACTAACAGGGGAGTATTCTTGCGAATGCAGGGGAGTGTTAATTCGTCTATCAAACACGGATATGTGGTGTTTGGGACGAATATAGAAAGCTCCGAGGTGAATATATATATGCGTGATATATCCTCTCCAGTGCCAGCGAGTCTTCCCTTGCCCGCCGACTCCACTATACATCTACCGACCTTTGACCTCCAACTTCCCTTACGAGTCTTCTAAGATGAAGTATGAGCGCTTGTTGAGCTTCGAGATCTGGAGGCTTTTTGTCATAGTATGCCTGCATCCGCTTCACACATGATGCTAAGTATTAAAGGGACTCTTCAAACTACCTTTTAAGTAACAGCAGGAATTGTTTTCCATTTGAATTCCAAACCATGCAAGTGAAGAACAGAATACAGTGGTTTCAGAAAACACCATACCATACATTCATAATCACAGATCTCTTTTCGACCCGGAGGCGAATTCCATACTCCACACTACACCCCAGTCACAAGTAACCACGTAAAGACTCCATAAAGAAACTGAATAGTCCCAAAAGACATACGGCTCGCAGACCCCCCAAAAGAGAAAAGAAAAGAGAACCAGAGAACCAAACACACTTGATCCGCACCACAACGCCAAACCCCTTTCCTATTTCCCACTTACAAATACGCCATCCAAAGCGGATCTGTCTGACACAGTTTGACCGGATTCACCGCAATCGCCACCAAATCCACCACAGTCTGATTAGCCGGCAAATTAGCGCCGCCAGGCAAGCTTCCAATACTCGTTGCCCTTTTCACTACTAGATCGCTATTCTGCTGCACCGCCTCACGAAGCATATCAGGTCCAAGCGGCTTGTGTTGCGATGTGAACCAATGGTTCATTTCGTCGCGCATGAAGATTGCAAGTTGCATGTCGAGTTCGCCTTCTGGTTCGATGAGACATCGGGCGACGGTCATGACAGCAGATGCGAAGATGCCCTCGAGGTTGAGGGGTCCCATGAGTGTTTGTAGGTTGGGTGTGAGACGGAAGGGGACGGGTTCATTGTTGTGCAGGATGGGCTTTCCAACCGCCATAGACGGGATAAGCTCGGAGCCCCAGACGCGTCCAGATGCGCGGGAAATGCTGAGTTTGTGCGGGTAGCGTGTGTTCATGTGCATGACGTAAGTCATGAAGGTGAGAGCAGCGAGCTGGTATGAGAATGTGCGGCGGAAGAGCCAGAAGTCCGAGAAATTAGGATAGGTGCTTCGGAAGTAGTCAGACATTACAGTCTGGGGAACATATTTCTCCTGCACCGCAGCAAACGTCTCCAATCGAATGCTATTAGCGTGCTCAATGTTCTTCTGCATTTCGTTATTATTTATCACAAAACATTGTTTTTTTCAGAAGAAAAACACTCACAGGTTGTAGCGCTCTCAACTTCTCAATACTGAACAGCACAGGCTCGTCCTTGTTGACGCCATTCTTCCTGCAATAATCTTCGAAAATGCCTTGCATGTTGATGTATGAAACATCATCCTGCACCATGCGCACACTTGGCGTGATTGGTATCATAAGAGGAAGATGGAACTGGAGATTCCTCCTCCGGCTCTCCTTGCGTTTGGATAAGATCCCATTGAAGATCCTGAACAACTGCAGGATCCTCTCTTCCCTCCTTGAGCTCCTTGCAGCGGGGAATTGGATAGCAAAGGGGTGAATACTTCCGTCATGACCTCGAATCTTAAGTCGACGGTGACAGATACCAATACCCCGGACCAGGTCCACATCAGGCAGGAAGCGCTCAATGCGAACAAAGTCCGAGTTCTTATCGCGATGCTGCAGGTACTGTCCAGGCACTTCGACGTCATCGAATTTGAGGAATCTGAATTCGTTGAGTTGGTGTGTGTAGGACTCCAGGGGCACAGTAAGCTTTCTTCGGTCTAGCCGCTCCTCGAATCGATTCCTCCATATCCGCAGCTTCTGTATATACTCATACATAGTGGGTTTATGAGTGACAAAGTCAGCCTCGAATGCTTTGCGAATGTGAGGCGGGAGGACCGACTCGGCGAAGCGCGTGATGTTCGCCTCAGTCGACGCAGGAAGGCGAATTTCCTGTGCGTAGAAATGGGGTTGGCGGCCGACGTAAGACAAGCCATCGTTGAGTAGAGCTACGATAAGCCTATAAGCATCCTCATCAGGTGGGCACTTGAAGTTCTTCTGGATCTGGTCAAGCATAGTCTCCATTGAAAGTGCAAGGAGAGGGAACGCAGTCTTAAGGATAGCAGAAATGTCCTCCACATGATCCCATGGCTTCTTCGGGGGTGCGGGAGTGTCCGCAGCAGTTCCTTTTGGCGTGCCCTGGTTCCCTTCGCCTTTCACAGCGCCGTTCGGTGTGCCATTCACAGTGGGCTTGGCGTTTCCGCCGGCGGAAGTCGGTCGATTGCCACTTGACGCTGAGCCAGGGCGAGCATCCGGGGAGGCTTGCTTTTGCGCCGGTGAGCCTTGACCCTGCGCTTGTAGTTGTTTGGCACGTGCAGCCTTCTCTTTTGCTTCTTTCGCATCATTACTTTTCTTAACAACTGCCAAATCCTCCCTTGTCATCCTAAGATGACAATAGAGAGCTTGAGGATAAGTCTTGGCCAATTTCCCAAGGATCTGACGCGCAATTGGGGCTTCGGGTCGAGATAAGCTGTTGAGCAGTTGAGGGATATACGTAATCCAGTACCATGCGGGAGTGTCACCCTTAAATTCCTCAAACTTCTCAGCTAGTCGACGCTCAGGATTGTCTAAGCTGAGTAACCACAGTACACGTCCCAGTAGCTTCCTGGACTTCGCATTCTTGAACTGACTCGCGGCCTCGAGGTAGCAACTGAGCGCAGCTTCAGCCTTCTCCAAATTCGTAGGGTCTTCTTTGAAGAGCATATCGTTGTACCGGCCCCACTCAGCCCAGGCTTTTGGCAGCTTGATATCGAAGAAAAGCGCACTACCGAAAGCATCATTGGCTTCAGTTTTCTGTCCCAGCTTCGCAAGGAACATTCCCTTGAGTGTGTAAAATTCAGCCTTCTGCTGTGGACCAAAGTAGTTGAGGTTTGTGTTGTTGATAACATCGAGGCCGCTATTAAGTTCGGTGCGATTCTGGTAGTGACACTTCGCTTGCTCTCGAAGCTTGAGGAAAGCTTCCTGGATTTCAATGTTTGGTAGCGTGTATATTCGACTAAGTTGCTGGATGCAGACATCGGGAAGGTTGTGCTTCCTGGCCACATGAGCGAACCTATTGATGATCCAGGCCGTTTCGTGGTATCCACGGTAAGCGAAAGAATTGCCGCCGCTATTGTTGTTTTGGGGATTTGGTGGGAGCAGCTGCAGATAGACACCATTGATCATCTGGAAGATGTGCTGGCGCCATGTGACTAAATCTTGCCATGCATTGATATCGTCCCAGAAATTGGGCAGGCGATCACGCCAGGTACTGAGAAGCAGCTTGAGCTCTTGCGACTTGTGATCAAGGTTAGCTTGAGTGGTCTGCGCGAGGCTCTGGCAGATAACGCTCGCGTCGTGGAGCTCCACTAGTTGCTGAAAATGCTGGAGTATCGGAATGTGAGCATTTGTGATGCGGCGTGGCAACTGGTGCCATTTCCGGATGGAGAGCTGGATCGATTCGTCGCAAAGTCTGTGGAACTCCGGTTGCGTTTCCAACTTCGCGTGCAGTTTGAGAAGTGACATGAATGTCTGGAAGAAAACTCGTCGGGGTGTAGGTGCATCACTAACAGCCTTGATGATGGAGTCTAGCTGTTCTCGTTGCTCGTTATTCTGCCAGGCCTCGAAATGTCTCCAGGTTGCCTCCAGATACAGGTCGTTAAAGTTCTCGTGCTTAGCAAAATCGCTTAAGACCTCCCACTGCTGTAATTTTTGGGCACAAATCACCCAATGATCTTCCCAGAGCATATATTCGCCAGTTGAGAAGGGTAGAACAGACGTACGGGCTTTGATCTGAGCAGCCTCATACATCTGTTGTGCCTTGTCCCAAATGCCACATTGCTCATACGAAAGAGCCGCGTTACTCTCAATGAATTGACATCGTCGTCGCCAAGTTCCGTAGAAAAGATCATCTTCTTGCAAGCCGCTATAGATCTCAAGGAGAGCATCGAGGTTGCTCTCGCGAAGTTTCTCCGTGTCCACGATCGGGGTGATGGCTGAATCTTCCATGTAAACAGCACCAGTGTACCAAGCATTATAAGTTCGAGCCAGATACTTCATGATATGGGGCGGGAACTTAACACGAGGCCGTGCGTGGACAACAGCGTCAAGCATTGTCGCAACGCAATTCGGTCGCTTGTCGATCTGGCGGGAATGGTAGTCCTTCGTAAGTAGCGAAGCGATACCCTTTTCCAGGTCGTTCTGGTCGTCTTTCGTGAGGGCCGTCCAAGCCAAGGGAAAGAAAGCAACCCAAATATTATGTGCGAGATCGCTATCCGTATGCTGTAGATGCCCAAGTGGTTCGAAAATGTCGCGGATCTTGACATCACCCAGTTGAGCGCAGAATCGCCGATGGTTGCTTACGAAGATTTCCAGTTCATCGTCGACCATAACGTCCGCGATCCTAGAGTCTTGCTTGTAAGTCCCAAACAAACTAGTTGGCTGCATGATTTTAAAGTCCTCGGAGTGTAGCTGGGCAGGTGCGTTCATCTCGACTGATCCGAACATCAAGTGAATCACCTGACTAAGCCAGAAGCTATCGCTAAGCGTGTCCCAATTTTGAGATGCCAGAACGTAACTCAATCGACTTGAAGCGGTCCGACTCAAGCTCTTATCGAATATCGTCATATAACGATTCCGCATATGAACATCTTGCGCTCGTGTTCCGATTAAGAAAGCATGTTCCATTCGAACTGTAAGCTCTGACCGCGTGATCTTCGCGTCCTCGTAGATTCGGATAACTAAATCGAGGAAGCGAGTCAGCAAAGTTGTGTCTGGCCGGTGCTCAAAAAGTAGCATCTTGCTCAGCACTGCAGTCTTTTCCTTAAGCGTTGGTACTGGTTCCGTCGAGTGGAAGATCCATTGCTCTACCAAATCAAGAATCTTCATGCAGACTGCGTTACTCTGGGAACGTTCGACAAGCGAAGCGAGGACGCTGAGATAGGGTCGTCGGTTCTCTCCAAGCTCGTTCATCCGTAGGGCAAGAATATCGACAACTTTAAGAACCAAATCAGTCTGAACCTCGACTTCGCAAGGATCCGTGGGTGGATTGGCACTGTCAGGGCGCATTCCAGGAGGTATGCCAGGCTGACCAGGCATTCCGCTATGGGCGGCAAGGTGATCTTTCGCCATCTTGCCTTGAAATGCCTTCATGATCTGGGGGATAATTTGCTGATTAATTTCTTCCGGACGCTTCTGGCACAGAGTCCAAAGGATGTTGATTGCGGAGACATAAGATCCATTTGACAGGGCCTCTGTGGCAACCGCACCCAAAGCGTTAACAAAATCTGTCGAAGGCGTATCTTCAGAAATACCCTCTTCATCGGTAACAGGCTCTGGCATAACATCCAGAATGCGCTTCAGCAATGGCTGTAGGAAGACGGTCCCATCGGCGTTCTCGTCAGCTGCATGAAGACTCGCCTGGACATCTGCGTTCTCGGAGCGGACAGCTTTATCCAAAATCTTCTGCAACCTAGGAAGGCGCTCGAGAATCCACTCATCCGGCTTGACATTGACAATGACTTTAACGATCTGGAGCGTGTTGATCATTCGGGTGTTGAATGCCTCTACCTTCTCCTCCTGTTGCATTTCCTCAAGGAGGATCTCTTCAATCTTCTTTGATAACATGAGATCAAGATCCAAGTCCCTCCAGAGACGAGGCGAAAGGAGATCATGGAGTAGATGTAGGGCTTTCTTGCAAATATCGGCAGTTTGGGTAGCGTTAGGGCTAGGATTCGCAAGCTCTTTGGGCTTCGGTGTGGCGACAGGAAATCGCTCTGGTAGATACGCAATGAACTGGATGAGATACTTGATGAGCACCATGCGAACACCGAAGAGAGCCACAAATCCTTTTGGAAGGGGGCCAGGAGGAATAATCGACCCATCAGCCCTCCGTTTGACGGCTTGTGGTGACTGTGACCCCCTCTCTACCGTATTTGCAGGCTCCCTCGCAGTCCGCTCTTCCCAGGACCGAATGAGGCTAATGAGATTCAATGCCAACTTCTTAGCTTCTGTTGAGGGATTCGGTGGTTGGGCAATCTTCGAAAGTGCCGTTATGATGATTGAAGAGAGCGGCTCTCGAGCCTCGTAGAAAAGATCTGGGTGTCGCACGAGGAAATTGAAAATGCTCATCAACTGTTGTAAGTTTGAGCTCTCCTCGGCTAGAATCTTGCGGGGGAACTGTGCCCATCGAGGAATGGCTAGCTTTTGATCACCACCCATTCGCTTGCTCAACACAGGTGCCAAAAGCTCAAGAGCCTGCATTACCAAAGACCTACCCTCATTCTGGTGGGCTTTTAAGAGAGCCTGGTATACCTGGATGGCAATCTTCATCGGTGTGTCGTACTGAGCTATGAAGAAGGCGATCAAGACATAAGCCGCATACTTATTTATGATATCCTCCAACCTAATGTAGTTCCACGCAAACTTGATGACGTCCTTACGGGCTTCTTGGATGAGATTCGAGTGATGTTTGAGGAGAAGGGTCGTAAGTTGGAGCAGCTCCATTCGCGAATGGTCCACACCAAGCTGAGCAGTTTCTTCCGAGGTATCGGTTAACGACTGTGGTAGCCACAGTCGGTTGTGAATCTTTTCGGTCATACCACGATCCATCAACTTCGTCCCCTTGGCTTGTCCAAAAAGGTGATCCCAATTGCGTTTCACATCCATAGCGAAGATTGGGTTGACGATGTTCCGGAATATGAAGGTCTTCGTCTTTTGTGACGTGTTCCGCGAAGTGTATAGATCGATACACTTATGAACCATTGTCTTCCAATACTCTGCCGACTCGTTCGATATCATCTCCTTGTAAATGAAGTCAAAGAGCCGTGGACAAATTTTAAGCTCCTCCGAGGTAACAGCGTCGACCAGCTCAAAGAAGAAATCGAGGTTGTTCGGCTCTTGCATAAGATAGGTCGTGAACACCACCATGATCTGCTCGCCAGCTTGTTCGGTCGCGAGTCGGAGTTCGGGATCCATGCTATTCCGTCGAAGCTTCTTTTCCAAGGATTTGGCGGCCTCGAAAAGGGCCTTCCTCAGATTCTCTTGGGAAACCAACCATTTACTCGACCCTTCAAACTGGCTTATGGCAAAAGCAACGTGAATGGCGTTGAGTTGCGCCTGGCACTTCTCCTTCTCTGATCCTTCAATTTCAAAGGTGCTCAAGAACTTGGGAACATCCTCCATGACTTCCTTTCGAAGCGGACCACTAGCCTCATTCTCAAGTAGCTGGGCAAAGAAGCGACCTTGGGTCTGATCCTTCATATTCGGCGCAAAGAAATCCCAAGCATCCTTGGGATACATGCACAAGTACCTAATCAGTGGCGCTCGGAACGGACTGTAGTGTGTGCGTCGCAGAGCAGTCTCGAGTTCGATGACCTTCTCCGTGATTTGTTTAAGGAATGTCGCCGCTGCCGGGGGTAAAAGATGGAAGACGTTGAATATTCCTGTAACAATCTTCATCTTCGGATTCTGCTCGACCATAGTAAAGGAGATCTTTTGCAGGCTGACTGGATCTGCAATGGTCTTCAAATGGTCCAGAAGACGAGTACCAATCTCCACTTTGAAGTAGTTCGTCAAGAGCTTCAAGAGGCGAGCGAGACCATCAAGACCCTCAATTGACAATTTCCGCGGATCTTGGAGGTTGATAAGAATCGGTCGGAGTCCACTTTGAAGAACATCTTTTGGCAGTTTGCTTGATGCAGATATAACACCTGACAAGCCTTGGTTCGCTGCTTCAATAACCTCAGGAGATTTAGAGTAGAGGCACTTGAAGAAGACGGCAATGATGCGGAGGAAGGTCTGGTTTGGCGGGGTGCTGTTGAATTCGGGAAAGGTCTGGGCAGTTGAGAGAAGCCGAATGCAAGCTACTCGCAGGTTAACAATGTGTTCAGCATTCCGTTGCTCGAAAGGTTTCGTAGCAAGACCTTCATCCTCCGCATCAGCTAGCGCCAAGGATTCCATCAAGAGTCGCGTGAGCTGATCGTTGAATTCGAGGATGTTATTCTTGAGCTTCAAGCAAAACGTTATCGCGTCGATGTAAGCGATCTGAATGCTAAATGGCAACGCTCGAAGTGGTTTCGTCCAAATTGGTACCACGAGCCTATCTTTGACCGGCATGATAAGCTCATGCACACCAAGGCCAGTAACCTCAGCTAGAACTTGGAAAGCTCTCTGAGTGGCCTCGCGCACGTTTTTGTTCATGTGTGACAAGTCGCCAACGAACTGGCCGCAAAGCCTCAACAGCATGTTGTTCGGTTTCTCAAAATCTTCCTTTGACGTCGGCTTGTGGCATTTTCGGATGAGATCCTCCAATAGTCCTTCAGCTTGGACACGAGTCTTCGAGTCGAGGTCAACTGGCATGTCCTTCATCACGAAGTTCAAAGCCCTTATGAGTTCGAAATGACGGGCAATCATCCAGCCTGTACCAAGGTCCAGTTTCTTGGTTATGATCTCAATACCACGAGTACCTCCAGACTTCATGAACCAGTCATCTCCGTGACAGTTGTGGCAGAACGTCTTGGAAAGCTCTTCGAAAAATGGGAACTTGTCAAGTTTCTCCTGAGACCCGAAGATAGCCTTCGCAGCATCGCGCATGGTCATGACTGCTTGCTCGGCCGCTTCTCGCACTGCCACGTGATCTGAAGCTAATGAGTCTCCGATAGCTTCTGCGATCACGTCGCTCTCGATGCAGACTGGTCCTTCTCCAGAGTTAACATCAAAGGGCTTCCCCCTATGTTTCATATGGGCAAAGCAATTCCCAACTTCTAGTAAAGTGAAATGCTTCGCAAGATTCGTAACAAATGCTTCGGCGTCGGATTTTAGGTCTGGAATCGAGACTGCAAATACGCAAGCTTTTAACAGCTTCTTCATTGTTTCTTGCTCAACGCCTCTCTTGATGATTGACTTTTCACGCTCAGAGACAGTCATAAGGTCGCTGCCGACGTCGAATTTCTTCGATACCATGTCATTTGCTTGAAGGCGGACAAGCTGCGCAAAGTCGTCCGGCAAATTGTCGAATCCAACCATCAGCTTTGTATGGGCCACAATAAGGCGGAACGCCTGTTGTTTGTGGAAGGGATCGGACTTCTTTGCTGCGGGTGGCTTTGGTATTTCATGTAGCTTTGCGATAGCGGTGTCGATACCTATTGCTGCAGGAAAAGCGCGGTCCTTCGTGGATCCAATTAGTCTAATATCGATCGATGACTGATCATCTGAATATGGTTTGAGCTCGAGCTCGGGCGGTCCAGTAATGAATTTGCGGTTGCGTCCACCGAGCTTTCCTAGGATTCGCATCGTGGTGTGCGCGTGGAAATGGCTGTACGGATTGGGCTTGAGGTGCTCCCACAGTGCAGCCATGAGTTCATCGATGACAGGTGCCATGATCGGGTCCAAGTAGTCGGCCGTCAAATTGTCAACGCAAAGTTCGAGAGTCCGCAGACCTTGCCCGACAAGTTCTGATCCAGCTCGCAAAGCTACCACCAGTGGCCTCATAAGGTAGCTGAGATGCGGCAGGAGATTACTAAGACGGGCTGGAACTGTAAGTGATAGCTCCACGAATAGATCTCGTTCAGCTGGCTTGCGCGCCGTGATCAAAAGATTGTTGAGCACGTCAAGCAACATCTCCAGAAGAGGCAGAATCTCCTTGTAGAGATGCTCGAAGCGCCCACCACCAATACTCCGGAACAGTGACCGTAGTAGAAGGAAGTAGTTCATTGGCTCCTCGGCCGTTGTGGACAGCTGAATCGATTTGGTGATGATCTTGCCGACGTGTGGCAGAAGGACCTGTTCATTCTGCTGCGAGAAAAGGGTGACCGCCATGAAGGAGAGCTTGAATAGCCGAAGAAGGATAGACGACTTTTTGACGTTCGCAGTTCCTACTTCTTCTATGCGATCCATCAAGAACTGTAATAGCATACCTGCAAAGCTAGGCGAGGTTGCTTCGCTTGCAAGCAGAAACTGTGGTACATGTAACAACGCAGGATGATTAAACATCATGTCGTAAAGATGGGGTATTTCGGACGAGAAAACCTCGTGGAATGTAGCTGGGTCGATGTGGTGGAATACCGTTGCGAATGTCTCGAGCAGCTCCTTCTCTTCCTTGCCACTAGACATCATATGCTGATTTGCCATCAGATCGCCTGGCGTCAGGACCTGTGTTTCGGAATTCGCCTTATCCAGTCCATAATAGCGGAAGACCTTCGCCCCTTCCCGGAAGAGCTTGATAAGCACCTCTACTTCCTCAGCGTTGTATCCAAAAGACACTTCGTGCCAATTGGCTGATGCGTTAGCGGAGTCGATTTCATCCTTGATCTTGGCAGGGTTGCAGGCTCGCAGCTGGTAGAACAGGTTCTTCAATCCGTGGAGGAGATTCTTGAAGAGGAACTTGTTGTCTGCAATGGGGTTGGAGCTCCTTTCGCGAGGATTAGATGTTTTGATCGGGGTAGCATTAAAGATATCAATCTCGTCCCAATCCGGTGGATGGTCCTTGTCCGCCATGTTGTTCTCAGGTAATGCATCGATCGACGGCTGGCTGTACTGTAATGAAATCTTATCCGCGTTGTGATACTGCCGGTTCATTGCTGCGAACTTGTCCCCAATCGCATTCAGGATCATGATCAAAAAGTATCGCGCATCTTCCTTCGGCTCCAGTTTCGCGATACACTCCGCCATGTTTAGTAGCAGCTTCGCACTCATGGTCTGGAAGCTTGTTCCCGGGAAGGTGTCGTGTAGGTTCTTGGTATAGACCTCTACGGTACGGCGAATCTGCTCTTTGGATAGAGTGTCTCTGAGATGGTGGATCAAGTCTGCAAGCATGCTATATGCCAGCGGCCGCATGGTTTCGTATACGGTCAACCCGTCTCCAATCAGGGTACGCTCATCTAGCAGTTCATCAATCTTTTTCAGAAAGATTTTCCGAAAATTGAAGTTTATTATATGCCGGATGGCCACCAGAAGCTCTTTCCTCGCCCCCGACTTTTCCCTAGGACAGTCCTTCAACAACCGCACAACGATATCCGGAAGCGTCGGAAGGAAGTCGTTTAGCTGCTGCGCGTACACCCGTAATAGATACGCCAGAAAGCTCATAGTCTTGACTTGGGCCGTGATGAACTCTCCGAAAGCTGCCCGGTTTCGAATATCCTTGCTAACGCCCGTGAAGATCCTCCCCTCTTTCTCGGCATCTTGATGTGCCTTCTCTTGGGGTTTCGCCTGAAGCAAGAGAACATTCTTGATTAGTGGAACGAAGAGCTTCACGTTCTTGTTTACGCAATTCCTGTAGGCCTGGAAGAGCGACACCACGATGATGGGACACTCGGAGAGAACCTTGAACGACTGCATGCCCTTCAATAGCATCCGCGCCTGTTGTTGTTCTGACCCAATGTCGCCTGTAGGTCCCGCATTCAGCGATATCGCAGGGGAGCCCGGCCGTGGCGATTGTGAATACTGGTGGTTGTTCGGAGTCGAAGGAACACCTTGGGTGGCAGGCGCCGGCGCTGGATTGTCGAATGTATCCTGAACCGCTTGCTCCATAGTCTCGAACATTTCTTGGATCAAATCCAAGAAGGGCTGTACCCGGTCTGCGAGGGCCTTCGTCTGAGCGCGCTGGAAATCCATGATAGTCTTCAAGCACAGAACCGCGTTGTCTTCATTTTCTATCCTGACCAGGCCCATCAGTTTGTCAACAATCTTTGCCGCATGAGGTTCGACGGCTTCGGTGGGGTTCATGGGAAGCTTATGCAGGATGTCCAGTATGCAGTTCCGTATGCGCTGTTTGCCAAAGTGTCAAGACGGATCACTATCACTAACAGAGGCGCACTTACCTGCTCTGGGGATGTAGATATAAAGATGGGATTCCCATCCAGAATCTTCAGGAACACTGGAACCATGTGCTGCAAGAACGAGACATACTGGGGCCCTTGAGAGTAGTTCTCTATATTATCTCGAATGTCGACCGCCTGAGCTCCTTTCGCTCTGAGATCTATAGAATAGTCAATACATAGACAACCACGTAGTGTACCATCGAGTATGCGCGTTCCCAGAATTGTCTCGCATGAAAAGACCCGAGTCGACGTACCTGAATTCGGGTCATCCAGTTTGGCCGCCATGGCCTCGAAATTATGATGGGTCGCCATGATTGCGAACGGCGCAGCTCAGAGCTGCCAGTGAATGTCTCCAAGACCTATGCAACGTTGCGGCCTCGGAGGGTGGAATGCGTTAGACGTGGTGGTTCTCGGGAAACGGTCGAGGGTAGGGGCATTGGTCCACAGCCTCGGTAGGTGCTTGCTGGGAAATGCCAGCTTCTTGAGGCCGAAAGACTAAATAAATGAGAGAAAAGAAATGGCCAAGGTAGAGAGCGCCGTGCTGATTACAATCATTACTTAAAAAAGAAAGGGGTGGTGTTGGTGGGAGGGTGGAATCACCCGCGTTGAACAGTCGCGCTCAAAAGTCGAGCTTCGCGACCACCGTTGCGCTGCGGATTTGGATTTGACCTGGAAGGATTAGGTAAGCTGTCCATTCACGTGACTTAGCGTTTACCCTGCCGCCTGCGCTTGCTGGGACCAATGAGAAGCGAGAACCGCCAACTTCACTTTCTATAACTTTCTTTGAGCCTCACCACGCAAGAGCACTTGCATATTGCTGTTCATGCATATCCCCAAGCCAAAATATGGCATCAAGTGAGGAGGCCGACTTTCTCAGTATCCAAAACCAATCTATTTGCTGCGTCGAACACCCATGCATTATCAAAAATATTGACAAAGGCGTCCAGTCCTTAGGGGGACCGCTCAAGCTAGGTCAAGTAAATTTATCCCTATTCTATATCCATACATTTCTAACATCATTCTAGGCGCTGAGCTCGCAATACACTCATGACTCCTATGAAAAAAAACAGAGTAGGAATACGCAAACTCTTTCGTTAAGCCTTCGTCCCCAGGATCCTTTCGCCAAGCGTTTGCTCGGAAGTCCCGTGGTGACCGGAAATGTACTCCTCAAAGTCACTGTGCCAAAGCGGACAGGTCGAAGGAGGAAGCGTGGTACATCTGGGCCGTTCCTCCCAGAAACTGAGGCCGAGTCTAGTGGCAGTGGAAGGTCCACACCCCAGCCATCGCCGCCTGCGAACAACCCGAATCCAGATCCATCAACCATCTTTCGGAGTTTACAAGACAACGAATCTAACTACACCGTAACACCCGTCGGCATCATCGACCAATCGTATCGCTTCCGCAGTCTACCAGACCTGCAATGGGCCGCGTCTCCGAACCCGCTAATGCAAGACATCAAGAACCACATCCTCCCCTTGAAATACAGCCTCCTAAAATCCTACAATCTCAACACAAAACCCGGCCCAGATCTCTCCCGCCCCGTAGAACCGCCCCCCGAATTCATCCAAGTCCCCACCCCCTTCCCTTACCACTACCTCCAAAACAAAAGCATCAAATTCACCCCCGACGGCCGGGAGATCAACACGCAGAAACGCATGGCGCTCGGGGGGTACCATATCATCAAACCGACTGATCCTACCGTCCCCACAGAACCGCGATTGCATCTGCCACCGGAAGAAACACTCACACCCTATGTCCAAAGCATCATCGCGCGCATCCGGTCGCAGCTGGCCAAGCGACCAATCATCACCCGGCATATTCTCTACAACACAATCGGCTGGGCAAAACGCGATCGCATTCGCGAAGCCGCCGTCTACTGCGGGTATTTCTTCGAAACAGGGCCGTGGCGCGAAGCACTGATTAAATTTGGCCTCGACCCTAGGAGCGATCCTCAATGGCGTGTTTACCAGACTATTTCGTTTCAGTCATATCAAAGGACCAAACAGTCTCGGACGCGGAAGGCTTGGGATCAGTGGGTGAAGCGACTGGCCAGTATGCCGAAGACGAAGTTGGAGCAGGAGCATATTTTCGATGGGACGAAGGTGTCGAGGACAGGGAATACGTTTCAGTTCTGTGATATTACGGATCCGTTGCTTATGGGGATTTTGCAGACGCAGGATATTAGATCGACATGTGCTGTATGGCCTTCCCACCCCTATCTCATCATCGCGTCCAGCGTTTCACTAACACCCAACCCCAGCCAACCTTCCACGGCTGGTTCCACGTAGGCACCTGGGCCAAAGCCACCGTCATTCTCAAAGATAAAATGAACCTCCTAATCGAAGGCACCACACCTGACGACTCCATCTACAGTCGCGTCACCGCCTGGCCCGAAGTCTTCGACGACAAGGAAATCTACCTGACATACCGCCATGAAGCGTTAAACAAGGCGGTGCACCGCCAGAAGTGGAGAGAACACCGCGTGATGCATTGCGTGCGGTGGGCGGCGAGGAATCCGCGGTATGCGTTTGAGAGAATGGGGAGGAAGATGAGGGAGGAGGAGGTGTTTGGTGATGAGGAGGAAGATGGGGAGGCAAGCAGTGGAGTTGAGATTGAAGATATGGATGAGAAGGCTCAGGTTCCCGAGGATTTGACCGAGGTGCCGGACACGGCTGATATGAGCGACGATGAGGACGAGGAGGGCGTGGATGGTGACGAGGATGAAGAAGAAGACGAAGACGAAGACGAGGACGAAGATGAGGACGAAGACGAGGAAAGCGATGGCGATGGGAGTGCAGATGTAGATGGCAGGGGTCTTGAGGAGAGATCTGAGAATGGGGACTCCAGCGAAGCCGCATCCGAAGAACGGGCTCCTGAACGGCAGAACAGAGCCAGACCGGACATGATGGACTTTGATTAGCTCTTAGCCGCTCTATTTCGTGTGAAACACGCAAATAGCTTAAAATAAGTGCATGCATGCAACAGCCTCCCTAGCACTCGAACCAATAAATCTAATGGTCTTCTCCCAGTCCTCATCGCCCCCCTAAGAAGATGAAAACCGTCAACAAGAACAAACGAAATGTTCCAGCCTAATCGACATTAGCAATGTCTGTCATTGCTGCCTGGGGGCGTATGAATAAATTCTACCGGCCTACTGCTCTGTACATCCGTAGGAAGATTGGAGGTTCGCACATATGTGTTAGGTAGAGGTCGAGATAAAGTTGCAGGGTAAGTTATACCGGGTAATGGAATTTAGGATTATGCAAGTAGCCTACTTCTCGCACTTCTCCTCAGAAATCGCTCTAGTCAACCATCTCTCCCCTAAAACTCTCTCTAACCTTTGCATTTCCCATCTAACGCCTGGGAAATCACGCGTCACATCACGTACAGCAACGTCACTTGGCATTTCCGAGTCAAGTTTAGGGACCTTCACGTACGCCAACCAACCATTAGCTTAACATTACAGCCCTACGCCTATCGATATCAATCCACGCCTCGCACTATCGATATTTTAACCACACTCAGCAACGTACGCCACCCAATGCCCAACAACACCATTTCTGCCACCCTACTACAATCAACAACTAACAACAACTACCTCCGCCACTATCCGTCCGTTCATCATCTTACATATCCAGCGAGCACATACCTCTCCATAAGAGAGGCCAGTCGCCAGCCATTCGTGAGACCAAGAACCCAAAAAAGCGCATAATAATTACAAAGGAAGTATGTGAAGTGATGTGATGGGAAACTGTGTGACCAAGTGCTCCAGGCCTGCGGACCGCGAGCGTTCTATCCAGGTCGTTTTAGAAAAAGGAGAAGGAAGAGGTTGAATGCCAAAGATGGGGCAGCTCGGAGTGCTTGACAGAACAACAAGAACAAGGCTGTCTAATGTCGAGTTTTCACGGATAATCTTCCGTGGAAAAAAGATGGATGGATAGATGGAGGTGTTCTTGGGAGGTCGCTCGCGGGCCCATCGTGACAGCCGTTGAGCCAAACTAAGCCGAGAACGCAGGCTCCGAGCGGACAAGATGACCTGAACGCCCAAGGGGAGTAGGATATGGATGCATTAGAAGGGGCAAACCTTGCTTTACCCCATTCACCATCCTTTCCCCCACATCCAACCCAAATTCTACGCCTTCCTGCTTCTCGTCACCCGTCCATTCGTAGTACCATTCGCCGCCGCACCTGTCGCGTTCACGCCCACATTAGCAAGCGCATGCGCACCTTGGGACAATCTACGTCTGGCCTCACCAACCGTCGGCACTTTCTCATCCTTCATCTCCACCAGCGCGCTCGTAGCCCTACGACGACCCTTGGGCACCGGCTTGGAGTAGGTCGCGAAGTAGAAGGAGATGAAGAGCAGCAAGTATGACGAGAGGATGCAGATGCCGGCGATGGCAGCGAATTCCTCTCCGGCGCACTTGCCCATGTTGGGGAGCCAGGGCCAGTAGGTGGAGGTGAAGTAGGTCCAGGAGGCGAAGTAGACGAAGCCTAAGTTTGGGGGGTTAGTATGAGAGGGTTGGGGGAAATGAGGAGGAGGGTGTTGGGGAAGGGGTTGCGTACCGAGGTCGAGAACGAATTGGGTGATTTGCATGATGGTGATATACTTTTTCCACCAGATGCGGATGCCGCGAGCGCTCTGGAAGTAGTACCAGTACATAACAACATGAACCATCAAGTTCAGTACGATCGGGACCCACGAGACAGACGTATTGCCGATGAGCTGGGTGTAGCAGAGGAGGGCAGTGGCGCCATGGTGGTAGGTGTGGAGGAAGGCTGGCAGCCGTCAGAAACCTGTACTCCCAAGTAATACAAAAACCAGTGACATACTCAGTGGCTTCTTCTTCAAGAAGAGAAAGCAAGTATCAATCAACTCGACAAACTTGGTGAGGTAGTTGAGCTGTGGCTCGTCAGCGCGGCTCTCCACCTAACCCAACCCAACAACCTCCACTCCCCATCTCGCAGTCCACACTTACATAATACAGAACCACCATCTTATCCGTCCACCCACCCTTATGATCACAGACCGCAAAGAAAATACCATTCCTTGTCACCATAGGAATCAACTGCTCCGCAAAAAGCACCAACAGAATGAAGCTGATAGCGGTGAGGTAAAAGTTGTGCAGCTTGAACAAGAAGCTCAGCTTATAAGCTGGGCGATCGCGCATAAGCTCCCTCCCCCCGAAGATTACAATGTAGTAAGAGAGAAGTATCGCGGCGCATGCTTTGATGGTGGAAATGGCCGTGACGCCGGGGATGAATCGGAAGTCCTGCGGCTTGTACCCGACGGCGGATTCGTACACCTTCTCGAAAATGGGCCACAGCTGTAGCCCAAAGGGTCGATCGAGCGTCGGCATGCCGAATTGGATCCAGTCGGGAGTCGACATGGTGTGCGGCGTGCGGTTCGCGCTGTGTGGTTGGGTTGACGGTGCAGTAGCTTACGCGAAAAAGAGTTGTTGGAGAGAAGTCGCGCAGGGTGGAGGGAGGAAAGCTGAGGCCGGGAACCTTGGAAGTAGAAGTAAGAAAAGAGGAGAGCTAGAAAACGATCAGCAAAGACCGGGTAAGGAGTGACGTGAAGTTGAGAAGCACATTCGACCCCGGTGGTAGAGGTTAGGGTGAGGGACGCTTTTCATTGTATTTGCACTGCGCCGGAAAGGGGTGCGGAAATGAGCTTCGTCTTCCGTGTCTCCCGTCCACCACCCAAATCGCCCACCGTTTTTCGTTAATTTCAGCCTCAAAAATTACCAACTTGTCAACACGGGCCGAGGCTTTACATGCGCACAGCTATTGGCTACTTCGCCCCTGGTGTTCCCCTAAAAGGCACACCTTGCGAGAAATTCAGTCACGTGGAAGTAATCATGCTTGCTCATCCGCCAAGGCTCAACAGAGGAGTCCGCGCGCTCCGCTCCGAGGGACCTATCTCTCCTCGTGATGCCTAGGCAATCTCGTCCCAACATGAAAGCCTTTCATATGAAAGGCCGCGCCCAAGTGAATCTTTACATTCCGTGTCTATCTGAGTCGTAGGAAAAGCCTGCCCATCTTCTGCCCCCCCCGCTCCCCCTCCCCCAATCCAGCGCCCCCGAAGGAAAAGCAGACGCCACGTGCGCCCTACCATAAACCCATCAATCGCTATAGTTTCGCTTTTGGCAGGCTCGAAGGCAGCCTTCATTGGCCCTCCAAGGTCGGAGAGAGAGAGAGAGAGAGAGAGAAGAAAGGTAGTTAAAGAGAAGAAGGGCATCCAACCCACATGAAGGGCGGCCTCTACCACCAAACCGCCAAAACCAAAGTATCGCAACTACAGCCGAATCGAACATGATGATGGGAAGAAGAGAAATGGGGTAAAGGGCGCCTTGTGCTGGGAAAAGAAGAATGTATATCGTAAAGTGCTCAGTCATGGACAGGTGCTAGAGAACTCTGGTCGCTGTCCCGCCAGAGGAAGGCCGTACGGGTCCGGAAGGCGCCCCGACGCCAGAGCTGCTGCGAGAAACCGATGGAGAGACGAGACTGCCCGAAGATCCAGGACGACTGTTGCTTCGGGGCCGTCCGCTAGACCGTCGTGTTTGTGGTTCCTCTTGCGATGAGTGGTGTCGGCGCTGCGAAAAGCGAGCACAAACAAGTCAGATCTTGAAACCGAATCCAATGCAATTCTCAACAAGAGGAAATTGGCCTAGGGATCTAGGGATAGAATTAAGAGTACAATGATTCGGCCATAGAAAAAGTTCATCCCTCGACGACTTTTAAGGACTTAAGAATCAACGTACCGAAGTCTGACTGTTCTGCCGCTCATACTCCTTCGGCCTCTTGTGACTTGATGCCGTCCCATCGTCCTGAAGGCGGAGTGCTTCAAGGCGTCTCTGGCTGTCCTGGCTCAATGGATCCGAATCATCTATCCGCATTGGAGAGCCGACCTTGGAGATTGACGGGGCCTTGGATTCCACCTTTCCATTCTGTTTTGCCTCTGCTAGCTTTGCGAGTTTGTCCCAACGATCTTGACGAGTTTGCTGTCTCTCGCCGGCATTGTTCTGGGACTCGGCGTAATCGTGCGAGCAGTCGTCGAAGAGTTGGGGATTTACTTCCATGAATAGCTTCATGGCATTATATACCATACCGTGAATAGTCCTATAATATATTAATCAAGATCTCCGACGTTTTGAGTGCAATATACCTATTCCAGTGTCCTTTCGAATTCTCATACAGCGGTGCGAACATGATCGGCAAGATCACTTCGACATTGTCGCTTACCAAGTTGCAGAAGTATTCGTTATTCCAGAAATAGAGGGCTCGCTCAGCGACCTATTCGTGCGTTAGAACGACGAGACTGAGCAAACCAGATGTGTAGCATACCTGAAAATGTGGGCTGGCAACCGACTTCGCCAGTTGGTTGAATAGCGGTTCCTGGACCTTTGCGAACTCGGCAGGGTCCATGACCTCGAAAATGTCTTCGACCTCATTCAGGAACATTACCTCCTTGGTACTGTTGACCTTTGGCCAATATCGGAGAAGACCCAGAACAACCTGGTCAAGTTAGTTTAGCCTGATGCATGAAAAATAAAATGACGTACCTCTTCTGTCAACGCTGCGTCCTTCTCCAAGAACTGAACGATACAATATGCTAACTGCGGATGGTACATGCTCAAACTCTTCACCTTGTGCAGGGGGATGAGCACGCGGGTCAGGAAGAGCTTATGCTCCTCTTTTAGCGGCAAAGCGAACCCGTTGATGATGGATCCCAGAATTTCGAGAAGTTCGGCGATACCGTTGAAGCGTTCAGTCTCGTAGATGAACTGGAAGAAGACATTGTTGATGGAGCGGCGGATGTACGAACGCAAATTGAGGAATTTGCCGTAGATGCGATGGAGGGTAGTCTTGAGGAAGTCGCGTTCCCGGGGATCTTCCGAATCAAACAGCTCAAGGAGCTATCAGGGATCAGTATTATGCCAAACTAGAAGAGTACGTACAAAACCTACATTAAGCACAAAGCTGTGGTCAATGTATGCCTTGGCGATGTTGGTGTTGAAGTCCTGGCTTTCGATGAAGCGTAGGAAGAACTCATAGACAACTTGGATGTGCGGCCAGGCCACTTCCAGAACCGGCTCGTCTTCCTCGGGGTCGAATGCCTCGCCCTGAGGATTCATTGGCGGTGGGATCGGTCGGAACAAATTCTTGCTGAACATCTCCACCACGCGGGGATACATCTTCTCTGTGATGACTTGGCGATTGTTAGCAACGTAATCCAGCAGCTCATGCAGAGCAAGACGCTTGATTTCCTTGGACTTCATGTCCCCGCTCGCATCATTGAAATCAAAGATGATGTTGCACTGGTCAATCTTCTGCATGAAGAGATCCTCGCGCTTGTTCGGCGGAACTTCGTGGAAGCCGGGGAGCTTTTCTAACTCTCGTTGGCGCTGATCTGAGATATCAAAGCGAGAAGAGTGCTGCCTCTTGGGCGTCCGGATGCCCTCAACCGCATCCTTGGGTGTTGTCTGGAGGCGGTCGAAGATCAACGACTTCTGGCCCGCTTTGGGGGGGAGGAGATCGCCGGGCATGGTTTCCGCCGCGCCAGGTGGGGGAATATGCTGCACATGAACCCAAGTTAGCAGCGTGTTCGGCAGGGGACTTGGACGCACCGCGACAGGCCCAGTGGACCATGGAGAGCGCGAGGTAGACTTACTGGAGCGCTGGGGCTGATGATGACGCTGGGTGCCAATGGTTGACTGGACCGATGGGGAGTCCCAGGACCGCCGGCGCCCGCATTACCGGCACCGCCAAGACCCATGATGCCTTGCTGTCCTCCAAACTGCGATCCGGGGGTCAGGGAGCTGGGCAAGCCGGGCTGTCCTGCGGGTAAAGAGCTAACACTCCCCGCAGAGCTATCTCCTGAGGGTAGCGGCTTGTTCCGTGCATCTAGCAAATGTGTCTGGGACGACGTTGGCGTGGCGTTGGCCGAGCCGGACGGCGATTGCGTTGCGCCATGAGAGGGAGAGGAGGTACCAGAGCTGGAGTCCTTTTTCTTGGACGATTTGTTGTCTTTCGCTCGCGAGAGCTGTTCGTGCTGGGCATGTTAGCGTGGTGCTCGATTTGGACTACCGCGGCGCGACAGGGACAAGGAGGCTCGGCGGCGTTGGCAGGAACTTGGGGAGCGCTTACAACCCTTTGCCTGAAGCCCTTCATGGCTGCGACCTGCGCGGATGCACCTCGAGCGGCGCGGGAGTCTCACGGACACGGGAGGGACACGGGCCGAATACCTGGCTGCCCTCGAGGTAACCGTGGTGAAGCTTCAGCCCTGGAGCGTCAGTGTCAGAAGAACCAAAGCGAACGCTGCAAGCTATCTAAGTGTGTTGTGGTGACAGTGGTGATCGTAGAGTCAGGCAGACATGGGTGACAGAGGATGTGGTGACGGGTTGAGGGTGGTGATTCAAGTGTGAGAATGGACGAGGGTCGCGATACTGTGGGCGCTCAGGAGGGCTAGCGGGAGCCTGGGGGCAGCCGCCGATGACGCACGGGTGCGAGGCTAGAGTGAAAGACAAGGTCAATTTCGGCGAGAGAAGAAGATAAATGTTAATGCGAAGAGCAGGAAAGTCAAGGGAGCATGGAGGTCGCAAGCACAGGCTGGACGACTCCTCATCGTAAGTTAGTGGGTTAGGTCTAAGAGGGTTAGCTAAGGCGCGCACGGGCCAGCGGGGTCGGTTTCGCGGTGACGGGGAGCGTGTTCGTCGGTGCTGACCACCGCGCAAAAGGCGGTTTGCGAGAGGCGGTTTGAGGGCAATTGGCAGACGGAAGCAGACGCAATTTCGCAGCCTGCCTTTTCTTTTTGTCTATTCACCGCTCGCTCGTGCTGGTGGCGGGCGCCCGTTTCACCATATCCCTGTACTTCCGTCCAATCAGCAAAGGAGGAAGCCGCGAGACCGTCACGTGTTGCTGTTTCTCACTGCCGCGGTTTTGGATGTTCGTTGCTATAGATAGTGAGTAAACATGTCTCTCAGAGACGTTTCAGACTCAACCGGGAAAGCAGCTTAGGATCCCTCTCAACGCAGAAGAACCCTCAGAATCTCTGTCTGGTCCTGCCATTGTCACTTTAGATCTTGGAAATCAGTCAAACTTCCGTATCTATTGAGACTACAAGAAACTTTTTGACGAACACAACAAGATATTAACAAAGCAGCCTCCCTTTCTGCATCGAAAATTGCATCGAAGCCTGTCTACCCCACCCACCTCCTCGCACTCCTAAACAACCTACTCCACGGCCCCAATTCTCCCCACTCCTCCATCCTTCCCCTTGGAATCCAGCTCGCTACCTCCCTCAAAATCGTCCTCTCAGGATGCGGCATCAGCGCCAGCACTCTGCCATTCTTACTTCTCACACCCGTAACTCCCTGTGGACTACCATTAGGATTGAAGGGATACCTTTCCGTGGGCGTGCCATAGTTGTCCACATATCGAAAGCTCACAAGCCCCTCGTCATATAACGCTTCAGGCGTGGCTGTAGATGAAACCGACGACGGGAATGTTGCACGGCCTTCTCCGTGGGCGGTGACGATGGGGAGAGTGGAGCCATTCATGCCGTGTAGGAAAACGCTTGGTTCTTTTCCAGGGCCTTTGGGATCTAGGACTTCGACCATGCAGACACGGGCTTCGTACTGCTCGCTCGTGTTGCGTTCGAAGCTCGGCCAGAGATTTGCTCCTGGGATGAGCCCTTTGAGTTTGGAGAGAAATTGGCAGCCGTTACAGACGCCGAGGGTGAAGGTATCAGGTCGTTGAAAGAACTGCTCGAACTCTTTCCTAGTGTTTGGATGGAGGAGGACGGACTTCGCCCAGCCTTGGCCAGCGCCTAAGACATCGCCGTATGAGAAGCCACCGCAGGCTGCGAGACCAACATATCTTGCGAGCGATTCGCGTCCAGATATGATATCAGTCATATGTACATCCACAGCTGCGAATCCTGCCATATGGAAGGCGAATGCCATCTCAGCTTGCCCGTTCACTCCCTCTTCCCTAAGGATAGCTACTCTTGGCTTAGCCGAGAATGCGGACGAGATGGTTGTCTTGAACGGAAGGACATTGTCCTTTGGATTAAATGAGAGTCTGTAGGATAGACCTGGGTCTTTATCATCCAGGATATTCAAAAATTCCGTATCTGCGCACTCTGGATTGTCACGCAGTCGTTGAAGCTGATGTGATGTCGCTGCCCACCTCTGTTGGAGCGATTGTCGAGTATTTCGATAGACAGTCTGTGTGCCGAAGCGGAAAGAGATTTCTTGTTTTGAGGATGCTGGAACGCGCCCAATCTTCTTGATCATGCCTGGAGGTGGACCGCAAGTAGCGAAACAACGGATGAAGCCAATCTCATCTTCTTTTCTCACCTGGAAGACAGCCCCTAATTCTTCGTTGAAGAGGGTCTCAATCACGTCCTTAGGGTCGCTTGATCGGCAGATGCCATCCAGCATGACTTCCAGTCCGCATCGGCCAGCGAACATCATTTCCACCAAAGTGGTAAACAGTCCTCCGTCGGACCTGTCATGGTAGGCCAAGACAACGCCTGACTCGTGCAGTTGCTCAATGGCATCGTAGAAATCCTTAAGCACATCCGGGTCATACACATCAGGTGCTTCGTCTCCCACCTGGCTGAATGTCTGAGCTAAAGCAGATCCACCCATGTGTTTCCTGCCTTCTGCTAGGTCCACGAAAAGCAAGATCGTTTCACCGACATCTTCCAATCGTTCGAGGGCAGGGGTCCATGTCCGATCGATTCTCTCTACTGGAGCAAACGCAGTGATGACCAATGTCATAGGAGCAGTGACTTCCTTTGCTGCTTTCGTCTCTGGATCGGACCACTTCATTTTCATGCTCATAGAGTCCTTTCCGACAGGTATAGATATACCTAGTCTTGGACAGAGACCGAGTCCAATTGCTTCGACAGCTTCGTAGAGTGCGGCGCCTTCTCCCGGATGGCTGCTAGCTGACATCCAATTGGCTGACAACCTGATTCTTGATAGCCTATCGAAACAGCTCGCAGCCGCCAGGTTCATCAACGATTCTGCAACAGCCATCCGAGCTGAAGCAGCAGGGGAAATAAGTGCAAGGGTAGGCTTCTCTCCCATAGCCATAGCCTCTCCGGTTCTCACGCCCGACATCAACGATGTTGCAGTCACTGAAACGTCCGAGACAGGGACCTGCCACTTACCGACCATTTGGTCACGTACTGTAAGTCCTCCGACAGTGCGGTCTCCAATGGTAATTAAGAATGACTTTGATCCTACCGCTGGAAGAGCCAGCACTCTGTCGGTGGATTCTCTGATCAGTCCGTCTTTTGAGGTATCTGGGATATAGATTGATAGACTGCTGTCAAAGGCAGGCAGTCTGAGTTTCCTGGAATCGACGATTCGGGACATCTTTGGAGGCTTTCCAAACAAGATCGGCATTGGTAGATCGATTGGAGTTGGATGATCCTTCGAGTCTCTATCTGTTAGGACGAGACGTTGCTCCTGCTTAGCTTTCCCTACGACAGAGTATCCACATCGCTCTCGGTTGCAGATGGCCTTGAACAGGTCCAGATCTTGTGGTCCAACTGCGAGAACATAACGTTCTTGAGCTTCATTGCACCATACCTGCAAAGGGCTCATGCCTCTATCGGCACTATCAACTTCTCGAAGTTCGAAGACCGCACCGAGCCCTGAATCATGGACAAGTTCGGGGAGTGCATTCGAAAGACCTCCCGCCCCAACATCGTGAATGAAGAGTATTGGGTTCTTGTCACCCATAGATCGGCAATGATCGATGACTTCCTGAGCCCTTCTCTGGACTTCTGGATTGCCTCTCTGCACACTGGCAAAATCCAGGTCTACCTTGCCTTCACCAGATTGAATACTGGATGCAGCACCACCCCCCAAGCCGATCAGCATTGCAGGCCCACCAATGACCAGGAGATGTGAACCTGGGGGAACGATATCGGGGTCCTTAAGAGCGTGTTGGGGCCGAACTGTTCCAACACCACCGGCGATCATGATTGGCTTATGGTAGCCTCGGATTTCTGTCTCCTTTTCATTCGTGAAGACTCTCGTGAGTAGAGTCCTGAAGTAGCCGATGGTACAAGGCCGGCCAAATTCATTGTTAAAGGTAGCACTGCCAATTGGCGCATCAAGCATGATATCGAGACTGCTTGCGATATGTAACGGTTTCCCAACATCTCTCAATTCCCAAGCCTGTTCGAATCCAGGGATTAGTAGATCGGAAACAGTGAATCCGGCCAAGCCGGCCTTTGGTTTGGAGCCCCGGCCTACAGCACCCTCATCTCGAATCTCGCCACCTGAGCCAGTCGCAGCCCCGGGGAATGGTGATACGGCTGTAGGATGATTGTGTGTCTCCACTTTGCACAGGATATGGACCGTCTCTTTGGTTTCATGCCATTCACCTGTGAGATGATTCGGTGCCCAGAAGCTGGCGTGTTCTCCCTGTAGAACGGCAGCATTGTCACTGTACGCGCTTACAACATGCTCGGGGTGCCGTTGATGTGTGTTCCGTATCATTCCGAAGAGCGAGTACGGCTTCCGCATGCCATCGATGGTGAAGTCGGCATTGAATTGTTTGTGCCTGCAATGCTCCGAGTTGACTTGGGCGAACATGAACAGCTCTACATCTACAGGCCCTCTCTTCAGCTCCAGGGTGTATGCCTCCACAAGGTAGTCAATCTCAGACTTATCCATGGCCAAGCCGAGCTCACGGTTCGCATGTTCTAGCGCTGCCTGCGGACTACTGTATTCCTCGAAACTGATACTCGTAGCCTGCGCGGGTTCATGTTCACCGAATATGAGGTTGAGGTCGGGTACATGGCGGCCAATTGTCTGTGTCATTCGATCGTGAAGCGAGTCTGGGTGTGGTATCGAGTCCGCGTCGAGAGGCTTGTCGAAGGCTGCGGCGATGACCATTCCACGTTCGATGCGCTTCACGGCATTTTCCAGCGTACATGTTTTTGCGATCATGGAGGCAAGCGAGCTCCATGGCGAGATGGTTCCGGCGCGAGGACTGATGTAGAACAATACGGTGTTAGCATCTCGGGGCTCGTCGCTGCGATGAACTGCGTCGATGAGGGTCTGAGAAAGGCGATCCTGGCCATCTGGATAGTCCCCGTAATGCAGTATCTGCTCCAGCGTCTTTAGTTCGTCCTTACTCAGTTCTTTTAGTGGATTGATGAAATGAATCCAGATGGCGCGCACGTCGACAGCTCCAATGGCCTGGGCAAGTCGCTTGAGGCGGAAGTCTGAGTAGGCGAGAGAGCCCGGTAAGATAAGATACGGATCCTTTGAGGGTGACATATCGAGATGGTGTTGAAGGCTTCAAAGAGCGGCCAAAGAAGAGTGAGGCGTGCCCGATCGCGGGCTGATGGTGGGGCAGATTTTTTGTACCAAAGTTTTTGGAGGGGTCTCAATCTGTGGCGCTGTGGCAGTGCGCCGTCGCAGGCCGATCTCCCTGATCTGATTGGCTCAGCTAGTTGAAGATTGGGAAGTGGACGTAGGCCTTAGTAAAACAGAAACAGAGCATTCTCGCTTCTAGCTAGGTGTGCTGCAAATGAAGAAGTATATGATTTCTTCGATGGGTATTCATATCTTCTTCCATTTCACGAAGGGAAGAACGCTCCATGAAATTCTACGTTTCCGCGCTGCTCTGAGATTCTTAGGTCTATATGATCCTGGGACTGGCCAAGAGCTAGCAGTTGGTCTGCAACACTGTTGACAATGTGAACGGGACAGAAGTGAAAAAGCTCATATCCCGTGCGAGATTCAAGCAGACGAAGATGGCCTGCTCCTACTAATCCATATTCAAAATCGAAAGGCAGTAAAGCCAGCAATCAAAACAGTCGGCAAAATTCCTCGAAAGTCCGGGAGAAGAGTTGTAGCTACCTAAACAAAGGGAATGACACCTCCTGAAAAAGCAAGCTCACACAGCAGGGGGCACAGCGGAAATTAACTCAATACCTACCGTCAGTGTCGTTCTCACCACCATCTGTTTCGAACAATATCTGCTTCGGCTTTATCAATGGACGAAAAGTGGGGCGCAAAACGGGACAAATTTGCAGTTAGCAACAGTAACGGTAACCTACGATTGAAAACGTGCTCCCAGACCGTCTGCTCATTCGTTAGCAACTGTTCCTAGGGTGTTGAATCTAAGAGAGGACAAGGTGATAGAGGGCTTGGCCCGCCCTCGGCGCCAAGTCGGCGGAAGCTCGCAGGGGTACTTCTTGATTTGAATTGGTGTGTACTAACATCTGAAGAGGCCTTGAGACCAACCACACGAGTTGAGCGTGATAAGGCCCGGGATATTCGAGGCTGGAAGCTGTGCATAATAGATCTCCGCTCTTGGCGAGTCCTTGACCCATGGGACTCAGCTTTTTGGATCGGCGTGCATCGCGAACGTGTTGTGCAGGTGTTCCGTATAAAGATGCTGCAGCTGTACCCAGGTGCCTGGATTTCAAATTTGACAATCAAAACTACCAAGTTCCACACTCATCTCTCCTAAATCATTGGTTAACATGGCACCAATTACTGTGAAATATGACTGGATCCTGGCTATCACCACTATTGCCTTTGTTTTCTCTGCTTTTGGTAATGGTGCAAACGATGTCGCCAATTCGTATGCCAGTAAGCTAACACTTTGCTGCCCTTGGTGGTGATGGAGTTGACAGTCTTTTAGCTTCTGTTGCTGCAAAGACTTTGACTATGCCGCAAGATGGCTTCCTCTCCATCCTCACAGAGTTTGCGGGGGCCGTCGGTCTTGGGGCTCGCGTTACTTCAACTATTAAAAACGGTATCATCTCTATCGATCGATTCCGAGAAGGTACTGGCCATCCCGGAGCACTGATGCTCGCAATGGGTTGTGCTGAAGTGGGAAGCGCCACCTGGCTAGTGTTTGCGACTGGCGTGGGAATGCCAGTATCAACTACCCAAACTGTTCTCGGGGCCTTGATTGGTGTCGGATTTGCATCAGGGGCCAGCATCAAGTGGGAATGGACAGACGGGTCCGTTTCTCAGGTTGCTGCTTCCTGGGGCATTGCTCCTTTAATCGCTGCTGGATTCTCAGCTCTCATATTTGGGTCTCTGAAGTACTCGGTTCTTGAACGCAAGGCTCCTTTTGAATGGGCGATGCGGCTTATACCGTTCTACTTCGCGATGACTGGCGCCATTCTTGCCCTCTTCATAGTCGTCGAAGCTCCTACTGCCCCTTCCCTTGAGGAATTTGGAGCTGGTAAGGCGGCTGGGATTATTTTAGGTGTCTTCTTTGGCTGTCTGCTGATATGCTACGTCTTCTTCACCCCGTTTTTCAAGCGGAAGTTGGTCTACAAGGACCCTCGGGTTCGGATTTGGCATGTCATCCTTGGCCCAATGCTCTTGAAAGAGAACCCACCCCTTTTATTCCCGGGGAAGGGTGAGCAATACGTTGAAAACTACTACGAAGACGCCTATGGAGATGTCCGCGCCGGAACAAAGGATGGCGAGAACCTGCGTAGGCAGCAGATCTCTCCTCAAGGCGACGGCATAACTAAAACCTCGACGCCACCCAGGCCCCTGGAGCCAGAGAAGGGAACTGCACATGGAACTGTACCTGCTCTCTCTGATCTAGAGAAGGCGGCCCAGCTCGCAAAACAGGCGGAAGAAGATCCCTCTACCATCGCGCCACTCAAGCACAGGCGCAAATCGGAACCTTACGAACATTTTATCGGTCCTGTCCAACACCTGTCGTGGGGGAACGCTCAGAAATGGTGGGGTTACTTCAAGTTCGGATTGTTGCAGGGTAAGTAATTGCTACTTTTGAAAATGACTTGCGATTGAAATTCGCAGGTGTTACCCGCGACGTTATTACCCACGACTCGGAGCTTCTGCGAGCTATCCATGCCCGAGCTCACCGGTATGATGATCGAGTCGAACACTTGTGGACTTACTGCCAAGTCATATCCGCCATGATGATGTCTATAGCACACGGTTCAAACGACGTCGCTAATGCTGTCGGTAAGCTTCACCCTCCTGGTGTTCCCGTCTTAGAAAATACTGAAAACAATAGTGCCATGGGCGGCCGTATACGAAACGTATAAAGCCGGGGTAGTGAAAACCAGATCACCAACCCCAATCTGGTTCCTCGTGGTTGCTGGCTTGCTCCTGGGTCTTGGATTCTGGTTCTACGGCCACCACATCATGCGGGCGCTCGGTAACAAGATCACGCAGATGTCACCCACCCGCGGCTTTGCGGTGGAGCTGGGAGCGGCGATTACGGTGTTGCTGGCAAGTAGGCTCGGGCTGCCAGTGTCGACAACACAATGCCTGACGGGCTCTGCCATGGGAGTGGCATTGATGAACTATGACCTCGGAGCAGTGAATTGGCGACAACTCGCGTTCATCTTCATGGGCTGGGTGCTCACGTTGCCGTGCGCAGGCCTCATTGCGGGACTGCTCTGCGTCATGGCGCTGAATACCCCACACTTCTAAAGCGACATGTAGGGTATTGCAGGTGGAGTTTGTCGAGCATAGGCTGTATTCCTAGGACATACGCTGGTGAGCAAATTTGAGTGGGTTGGGAGAGACTGCAGCATGCGTTCCGATATATAATACTAGATATACTCCACGCCAGCGTACCTCGCTCGCCCAACTTACCCATATATTCTTGAGACGAGCGATGTGCGACGGTCCTGCGTGCCATAATGTCGTTGATGAGGTTGAGGCGCGGCCAGGAACGGGAAGCAGAAGCTCTGATCGGGCGCTCCCGCTTCCACTTCCCAGCGTCTTGGCACGCTTATTTCCAACCGTGTCAGTCCACCACAACCCAGCAGCAAAACCTAGCTCGTGCAGGAACCTCCCTCTACTTCACCCCCAACGACACCGTCCAGCACCAGCAAGCCGCAGCAGCCTCCCATTCCCGCCCGACGGATCCACCTACGCCCTCCGCAGCTCGTGGTGCCGCCATTGTAACGAGCCATGTCCTTCGTGCGTGCCGTCTCGAAGGTCAGTCGAGTGGGTGTGCGAGTTCCGGCCAGCCGAGTCGGGCCCGTCGCCTGGAGCGCGCAGCGAGCCTTTTCGCAGTCCGCCGTGAGAAGCAGCGATGCTCACGCCGAGGAGACGTTTGAGGAGTTTACTGCCAGGTATGCCGCACTGTTGGGATGGCATTGCCGGCCCGAGGAGGATGGGGCTCCCGAGGGGAGCTGGTGGAGCCATTGAGCTCAATTGGGCTTTCTAAGTGAATATCTGCTGACTAGTGTGCCTTCTGGGCAGATACGAGAAGGAGTTTGACAAGGTCAATGACGTCTTCGAGCTCCAGGTATGTTTCTCACGCAAGTTCCCGGAGCTGTCCGGCTATGACCTACCAAGCTCGGCGTTGGTGATTGAGATAAACTACACGGATAAGAAGCTGACGTGTGGACAGCGAAATTTGAACAACTGCTTCGCCTACGACCTCGTCCCCTCACCTTCCGTCATTGTTTCCGCACTGCGGGCTGCTAGACGGGTGAACGACTTCCCCTCCGCCGTGCGTGTTTTTGAGGGTGCGTATCATCATCACCATCCTCTATACCATAGTATTCTACCTACCGCTTTAAAGTTACCATTTCTCTACAAATCCCCTCAATTTCTGGCGAATCACCTGGCCCTGCCTCATTCCGCATGCTTACTAACCCGTCCCCGCTAGGCATCAAATTCAAAGTCGAAAACAAGAGCCAATACGAAGAATACCTGCAAGACCTCGAAGGGATACGCGAAGAACTCGGCATTCCCTTGAAGGAGACCATGTATCCTGAATAGACGCACCCTTCAACACGTCCGACATCCCTCCCCACTGGATCCAGACACAGACACAAATACAAATACACAAGAAAGCTCGCGTACCCATTCAATTGTAGATGCGGTGGTCATTTCGGTTTTAACTTGCTTTAGAAGGATGGGAAAAGGAGACGGGGAGGGGGAGGGATAAGGTACGCTGTATCAGTATTGGGGATTTTCCTTTTGTGAGCAATGACGGGGGATGGGTATGTATTGAGTCTGTGTTGCTCTTGGAGCTGGTACTTGGCGAGAAGAAGGGTGAGAGCGGTATCCCGCTGTAGCTGATGTATAGAATTTCTTTCCTGTTGGATGCATGATAAGCACATTGCCCTACATGTGAAGTCTCTGGATTTCGCAAGTGTCTAACTCTTCTACCAAAGGAGGATAGGGTGCGAATGTGGTGTCAAACCACAAACTGTGCTCATATCGCAGTACCCCCACGCAACGAGATATCATTTCCTCAACACGTAGTATACAAACGCTCAAATGCTCCAATCTTATGAACGCCAAACACCATTCCGTCGTGCAATCCCATTATGCGTTTCTGGACCCAGATCTATACAAGCCAGTTCCAATTCATCTCGCGTCAGTGCAGATAAAATGTGCAGGAGAAGTGAAGCATGCATTTACACCCGCTTTTCCTTCTCTTGCTCGCGACTCGCCGACCCGCGAGGTAGCCAGCCCCAAAGACGCCCGCAGCGCTGGCTACTAACCATTCATTTTGATATCAGATTGAGGGGAGGTCGGCTAATCCATGCCGACGTATTTAAACCACAGCGGACGACAGTCTTCCCTGTTCAGCCATTTTTCGCCGTCGGTGAAGCGGCCGGTGACGCAGCCGGAGCATTTGGGGCTGTTGGGACAGTTGAAGAAGGGAATGTGTTGGTAGCCGATGTCTCGGAACCTAGGGTCCTATTAGACACAAATGTCTTGAGAGGAAAGAGCGAGGGCCCTGACGGGGCTTACCAATGGATCTTGCTTCTGTCCTCAAACAACCCCAGGGCAACGCTATGCACTGGCGCATCCCCCCAGCGCTCATAGAAGAAGCCGCCTGCGCGATCCAGATGGTCGAAGTAATCTCTGTACTTCTTACTCCGCCAGAAACTCAAGTCTCCGATCTCGAAGTTCGACCAGAAATGGCACGTCGAGTATCCGTTTGCTTTCTGATGATTCTCCGGCCGCTTCTGACTATCCTCTAACCACTCTCTTGCGTTATTCGGATGCACATAATCCTTATGATCCTCGACGAACTTCTGGGTCTCAGGCCAGAGTGTTGCGACGCTCTCGGGAGAATCGAAAATGTTGATATTGAAGCCGTAGGTTTTGTTGTGGTCTTGCATCCACCGGAAGACGTCGTAGTCGATGTCGCAGAAGAAATGCACGTTGGGCTCAACCCGCCAGTAGTATTGCACGTTTGCGAGGGAGGGGTGCTCAGAGAACATGCCGCTGTTCCACCGGCACATTTGGTGGTAGGAGACTTTGGCCATGTACTGCACTTTTTGCTCTTCTAGAAGGGAGACGGATTCGTGGAAGAGGTCCATGTTGATCCAGGACGGGATGTCCCAGTGCTCCTTGGGGACGAGCTCTAGGGGCGGGATTATGTTAGCATCCGCTCTGCCAGTTGGCGGGGGATAGTATGATGGTACGCACCATACCGCACCTCCGCCTTGGTCGCCGCACGAGTCTTCTTCTTGAACTCGTCTGTGAACGGCTCGTCGTTGAAGAATGTCCACGGATAATTGAACTTGTGATTCCATGTCCGCTCGAGGTCGCGCATGCTCTTTAGCAAGTCTTCTACTTCCGAGTTGCGTACCAGGCTGAGGATCGTAGCGTTGATGCGAGCGCTGTTGGCGTTGTTGGGTTCATAGTTGTCACCCTCGACTCGCCGTAAGGGTTCTGGGGGTTCTCCAGACGCTATTTGCGGGTGTCAGCAGCCCAATTCCCTCCAAAGTGGTGGCGTTGTCCATACGATCTAATTGCGGGTCGTGGTCCCATTCCTGGAGCTTCGTCGCTGGTGGAGACGGGGGGTGTAGCTCGGCAGGTGTCTTGAAGATTTGAAGGACCATATAGAAGAAAATACACAGAGTAAGTGCGGCGAGCACCCGCATACTCTTTGGAAGCGCCATTGCGAGGGATGGCAAGAGTGCGATAGGAGGAGTCAGACTTCTTCTATATTCCCTTGCGCGGCGACTCCTGTTCCTGTGAATTCGCGCCCGGGCCAGTGACCATGCCTACGTAATACCTCCAAGGTACGTTAGCCACAAACGGTAAGAGCACGGGCCTCGGTCAGAACAACACTGAGCGCGTCTCACTACTTCCGACCTTGCATGAGGTTTTGGAATCTCCGTCGTGCGCCTTGGTGAGGATCGAGGTTGCTGTCAGCATGGCGCAGAACGCAAAGATTGGTGCCCTGACTGAGGACTTGATTCAGTCAATAGTCAAATTCGATCCGGAGACCAACCGACAGGCCTACAAGCACGCCAAAGATGTTGCGAAGCAGGGTCTGCGAGCACATCAGTATGTTCGGACGAATCAGTTCGACGTGGAGGCCAGCTTTAACGGGTTGGACGAGAAATTTCGAGTCCTGAACCGGGATGATCTCGCGGACGCGCTCGACAAGCGTATCAAGGAACTCCAAACCGTGCCCAACAAGTGGATACCGGAATATCTCTCATTGCTCTTGCAGCTCTCAGATCGGCCAGTAGAGAACTCTCAAGTGGAGGCTTTGGACCTGCTCAGACCTCCTCCATCGCCTCCACCACTGACGTGGGCGGAGATTGTCGCAGACGATCCATACAGTGATGAAGAGATATGGAAGGATGTGGACTACGCGGCAGAATCATCCGAGGAGGAGAGAGCTCCAAAGATCCGCGGAGGGCGGGGCGACAAGGAGGATTCTCCAGCGTCCAGCATCGATAAAGATGACACATTTGATCCAGAATCCTGTGTGATCGCAGTGGAAACAGATGCTATTGAAGAGATCACCAAGGCGCAGTTTTGGAAAGCTAGGCCTGAGGAAGACCTTCAGAAAATCGCAATCACAGAATTGCAAGCGATCAGAGAGACACTCTTTATGCTATCGGGGCTCCCGACATCCCTCTACCTTAGCAATGCAAAGAATGGCAGCATTCGCGTCTGCCAAAAGTATAACTTCAGCCATGCTATCACGACAACCATCGAAGACCTCCTTTCTCAATTGGCCGATATTGGGAGAGATCTTTATCGTCTTCGTCAGTGGACCCGCCGAGGTTCCTCGCTTCCGCTTATCCAGACCTTCGAAGCTGCCATCAAAGCTAGGCTGGGAAGCTACGATCAATACCTTGCCTCATTACAACAAAAATATTTAGTTCCAGATACTCCGATAGCAGTGAGCCTGCTTGAACTGCACCACGAAGTACGCACAGCCTCTAGACCTTTACTCCAGCTAGCGCAGCTAGTGGCGGACATTGAGCCTTTACTTCTTGTGAACCCCTTCGCTCATCTCGAGACGCTATTTGACCGCGCTGGTATTGCTCAGATGACCTTAGAATTCGACGTCTTTGAGTTCTTGTCCAAGATCTTCTTTGAATGTCTCCAAACCTACTTGAAGCCGATCAGGAAGTGGATGGAGTCTGGCGAACTTGGAACCAATGATGAGACCTTCTTCGTTTTTGAGAGTGACTCGGGGAGTGAAGTATCATCGCTCTGGCATGATCGATACGTACTCCGTCGAGGACAAGGGAATGCGCTTCGCTCTCCAAATTTCCTTCAACCTGCGGCGGGGAAAATCTTCAACACTGGAAAGAGCGTGGTGTTCCTTAAGGAATTTGGTATTTATGGAGCTAGTCTAGCTTCTTCTGGGCCGGAACCCAAACTCGATTATGAGACTCTGTGTGGGACCTCCTCGGAGTTGCCACTGTCACCATTCTCAGACCTATTCGAGGCCGCATTCGAGCGGTGGATAGAGAACAAGTTCTCCCTTGCTTCCACTGTGTTGCGCCAGCACCTCTTCTCGGAATGCGGTCTTTTTCGGATCTTCACCGTGTTTCATCACTTGTATCTCTCGGCAGATGGATCTGTCTTTCAAGACTTTGCGGATGCTATTTTCGAACGTATGGACTCGAGACGAAGGGGATGGAATGATCGATACCTCTTGACCGAGTTAGCTCGCGGCATTTTCGCCACCATCTTTGTCTCTTCCGACTTGGAAAGATTGGTAGTGCGGACGGCCCATATCAAAGATCATGGTCGATCAGTCAAGCTGCTAAAGAGCATTTCGATGGACTATGCAGTATGTCGTTCTTATTCAACCAAGTGTAGCGCTAACATGCGATAGCTTCCTTGGCCGGTCATGAACATCATCCAGCGATCATCGATTCCTATTTACCAACAGATCTTTACCTTTCTGCTGCAAACCTACCGTGCCAAATATCTGTTGCAAAGGGTGGCATGGGAAGATTTCACACGATCCAATGACGACCATTCGAGCCAGCTAAGCTACAAACTTCGTCTCCGACTCATGTGGTTTTCTGACATTCTCCGCTCATATCTTACAGAGACTGTCATTGCACTATCAACGCAGACCATGATTGCTGGCATGGAGAAGGCAGAAGATATCGATGAGATGTCTGACATCCATCTCAAATATCTCGCAAGGCTACAGGAACAAGCGCTCCTCTCCCAGAACCTTAAGCCCATTCACCGAGCGATCGTATCAATATTAGATCTATGCATCCATTTCTCTGATATTCAAGCGAAAGTTAGGCTGAAAGATCTAACCGCCAAAGCACGGTTGGAACGACCACCAAAGAGCCCGACTAAGACAGCCAAGACCCTCTCAAGGAGGAAGAGCTTCATACCTCTCGTTGAAAATCTCTCCTCGGATTCATCAGATAACGAAGTACACCCCGACGACTACAATGCATCTGGGGAGGCGAGAGCTGAGGAGGTGAGCTCGAACACACTGACCCAAATCAACGAGCAATTTGGCAGACTCTTACCGTTCGTAACGGCGGGACTAAGGAGTGTGAGTCGTGCGGGTGCCGAGCCGGTTTGGGATATGCTTGCTGATAAGTTGGAATGGAATAAGCCTAGGGATAAGTTCTGAGAGTCTCAGATGGGACGGGTCGTGCATTAAGGCTGGCTGGACATCCCGCAATCTCACGAAGTTTAGGAACGTTATTAAGGATTTACAGCAGCCGGAATCACGTTCTGTGTCACCAGCCAGTTTGAAACATACTCAACCGAGAATCACAGGACTACCTATTTTCTTTTTCAAGACACGTGATTGCTTGCTGTCCTGCTTCACCTGCAAGAACCCGAGCATGCATGCACATATCTGGCCACACCATCTGAAATCGATGCACATGCGGGAATCCCGATCGTTCTGTGCATATCAGATGATCGCGGAATTTCCCAACAAAGAACCCTCCACACCGAGGCAAACCTGGTGTTTCCATCTCCGCATCATACCACCAAAATTGGGAGCCTTCCCCGCAACACAAATATACCACCTATCCTAGCTCGATTTTTTCCCTCTCGTTCTCATTTTCAAGAACGGTGCAAGAACTAAATTCTTTCCAAAAACTATACCGCGAACATAAATACCCCATTTTCCAATACCTTTTCTCACACTTGTTGAATACCGCTATACCCATCGAAAATGCCTATCCTCATCCTCTACGCCAGCACCCACGGCTCCACTGCCGAAATTGCCGAACGCATTTCCTCCCGCATCGCCTCACAATTGCCTCCAACGGAAGTCCACGCTTTAAACGACATCGACACATCTTCCCTCTCTAACTACACAGCCATCATTCTCGGCTCCGCTATCCACGGCGCCGCCTGGCTCCCTGAAGCTTCGAACTTCCTCACTGCGAACAAAAATGCGCTAAACGCGAAACCGTTTTTCATGTTCTCTGTCGGGGCGCCGGAGACGATGCCGAAGTGGTTGAGGGGGAGATGGGCGCGAAGTGAGAAACGGAGGATTAGGGAGCGGGTGGAGGGTGTGCTAGGAGGGAAGGTAAAGGGAGAGGGTTTTTTTAGTGGGAAGTTGGATAAGGGGGATGCGCCAGGTTGGTTGCGGTGTTGTTGTGGGTTGGTGGGAGGTGGGAGGTACGGTGATTTTAGGAAGTGGGATGCTATTGAGGCGTGGGCGGATGAGGTGGTGGGAATTTTGAAGGGGCCAGTGGAGGGAGAGGGTGCTGGAGAGGGTGAGAGCCAGAGGGGGCTTACGGAGTGATTAGGAGGGGGCTGTGAAGGAGAAGGAAGGTGACGGAAGGCAGATTCTCAGTGGAAAAGTGCGAAAACAAGAACGCGGGATTGAAGTAATATTGTAATGGGACGTGTCAGAGGAAGTTTGACTGTTTACCATATTTTGATACCCGGATTATTGATATGGGACCCAGTGATGCCTAGATTGTAAGGCTTTTCCTTCACTGGTGGGTTTGTGTCTTATCAAATTATTTTTTTAAATATTTTTCCCTAATGCTCCCTAAGTCTCCCCAAGTCTCTGCGTAACTTGATAAGTCATCTGATGTAAATTTCGTAATTTATTCTCCAATTAACAATTCATTTTGGCACACTACAATACTCATCCTTTTGTGTCAAAGATCATTCATTATTCTCCATTTATAATTGTGGTTGAAAGTTCAGTGACAACTAGAGCCCGTGCTTTACATCTATTCCCAACAAGGGCAAGCTAAGCCGTATCTGGCAAGTTTGCGTCAAAATGAGGGACTTTTCTATGCAACTTCAGCTGGCACACTCCAGCACACAATCCGAATTTTCAACGCCATTTATGAGAAATCCGCAACAACTATTATCAAAATCCGTAGCAAAATCCAAAACAAAATATCTACAGTGAAAGGCGCGGCAGAATCGACACCAGAAACCTGCAGCGAGATTCGTAGTGAAATCCGCAGCAAGATCCACATTTACGTTGCATACGACTTTACTCAAAACCCGTAGCAAAATCCACTTAAAAGGAACGAATCGATCTGGAGGATCCTAGATTATATTCTACCCCGACTCCTAGCCGATAAATTCGCCGATATCTGCAATTCGGTATTACGGCCAAAGAAATTTCTCATTGTAGAGGAGAGAAATGCTGCGCCATCCCGCTGCACCCACTGTTATCGCGTTGTTGCTAGGCTTGCTAGTAGCAATTATCGTATATCATACGTTTGTGTGGGAGGGCCACCACGAGGGGAATCCGCACCCCGATGATGTTCCATTGAAGGAGGAGGTCCTTGGGATTAACGAACCTGAAGCTGAATCTCGAAGGAATCGAGGTCTAGCCAAACATCATCCGGAGGACACTTGCTAGGCATATTCTGGTTTCGTTGATATCCAGCGGAAGGAGGAGACACAGGGATTGTACTAGAGAAAACCCTGTTGAAAACATCTACCTCTGGAAGAAGAGACGACAAATCATGGGGACAAAGGAAACTATCGTCTAGGTGGTATCTCTCGGGAGCAGTTGGTGGTAGGACTACACGAAGGGGTTGGTATCCGCCCCAAGGAGGAGGTGTAGAGGTTTCAGGTTGGACGTACTTATTGAAGTCATCTACCTCTAGGCAAAGAGGCCGAGGATATGTTGCGCCAGGGAGATTCTCATCAATATGGTTTGGCTCAGGAGGCAGAGGTGAAGACACTACACGAAGAGGTGGGGGGAATGAACGAGGAGGCGCGGAGGCTCTGAGAGGGGAAAGCTCTTGGAAATCGTAGAACTCGTCCAGCGAAGGAGGTGGAGCACGATGACTATCACCCGTGAGATCTCCCTCAGAACTAATAGGTGGAGGTACAGAATCTGGACCAGGGCGATGAGGAGGGCCTATGGGATAAAACCGAGGGACTTCACCTGGCCTAGGACGGTCGGGTATACGTCTTTGCTTTTCAATTCGCTCGCGCTTGACCTCCTGACGTAGCTTCTCAAAAAGGATGTCGTTGGGGTCTTCGGCAGGACGTTTTACTCCAGGGTTGAGTCTGAACAAGTTGTCAAGTCTTTTACTAAATTTCCCCTTCTTTGGGTCTTCTTTCTTATGGCTCGAGCATAACGTAATGGGGCTCTCCTTTCGCGCAGCTCCAAAAACGAGAACGAATCTATCTACGAAGCGCTTGTCGAGACGCTCTACAAGCCAGCTCGCCCATGCTACGTCAATGTCAGCGCCGTTATACTCGTTGGACCAAAATGGAAGAAGGCAGAAATACCTCTCTGCATGGAGTCCAACCGCTCCTTTCGTGTTTTAAGGGTAACCTCCTTGAGAACCTCACCTAGATACGATGCGATGAATTCATCCTGGCCGAATTCCTTGGGATTTTTAGCGGTTCTGCACTGGAACTTTATCATCTCTTCTTCCACAATCGATTGAGGAATATTGTACACACCTGCAGCCTTATTAGGTTCCTGTACAATGCACGCAACTTAATAGGAGAAATTCGAATCATGTTAACGTCCCGCCGGGTTCCAGCCCGAGCGTTGACATAGACTTTACTTTAGCCACAGTCCATGCCAGGCGGAAATATACTGTATGTACTCAAAACGTAAAAGGATACACTTACTAATTGCCTTGTAGTAGATCTCTACCCATGCTGGTTGATTGAAGTGCAGGTTTTTCATGAACAGAGGGAGGCCGTCGAATCGAGACGCGAGACGCAGTACCATTTTAAATGACTGACACTTTGTTGAACTTGTTTTAAACTACGAGCAGATACAAGGGGGGCCAGCCTTTTATTACCTACAACAGACCATGAACCGAAAATGGGTGGTTCACCTGATCCCAACAAAATTAAGCATTATCCTAACTTCCTCCCGAATTCTCGCAATATGGTAGATGTCCAATGTCCAATTTGGGCACGTACCATAGAATGCGAACAATTTCGGCGACCACCAGCCAATATTGAGTTAGTATTCTCGTAATTCTAAACCACGTCGCACCTGGTATTATGGACTTGCCACCAGACCACCGATTGGACCTAGGAACCAGCAGAATCTCATATGGGCAACAGCTAAACCGGGGGAAAAGCCACGCAGAGCCCCAAAAATTGCGGCTCTACGCGGTGAAACTTCGGATATGACGAGAATGGGGGATAAGAAGCCGTGGATATCAATACTGGAGCTGCGTTCACCACATTCAGAGTGGTTCAATTGTGTAATTGGAAGGATTGGGGATGCTCTACCATGATTGCGTCCCTAACAGACACCACCTATTACACTCGAACGTAATATGTTGCATACTTTCATGGGCTTCCAATGCGTATGGCCTGTACTTCTCCCACTCGCTTATGGGCCACGACTTCTCCCACGCAGGGGCCACTACTTCTTCGACACATCCAATATCTATCAAACCACGGGAGTCCTTGTTGGCAGAGCAACAGCATGCGACGTCTCTGCTCGAATTCGTTACTGAAACCGGGGATTCCATAGCCTCAGCACTTCTTGACATACAAGAGCAGCATAGCCACGAATGAGCCGTTGGCTAATATTTCACGCGGGCTGGTGCCTCCACGGGATTATTCGACCGCGGTGATGACAGATGACACTACAGTGAGAGGAAGAAGCATAGTATAGCGTGCATACCTTTGTCTGTCTTTCCATTGCTAGTAAAGCGTAGTGAGTGCTTCTTGAGAGCGCGTATGCCTATCATTCGCATTTGATAATACGCACGACTCCAAGAATCACGGACATGTAAGATACAGCGCTATCGTGAAATACCACCAACCGTAACATGTCCTCAATCTCCTAGTTGTAGCCCCTGTGCCATATAAGTCACCGAACCTCCTACATAACCGTTCTCGAATGCATCGCCCCACAGCTCTACGAAGACTACCTTGTGAAGCTCTGTAGCTATGGGGGACCCCACATCACGCCCCAAGCGCGACAGCTTTCTTTCGTTGCCTGGAGAGTTGAGGCTCAAGTTTCAGAATACTGCTCACCCCCTATCGAGTCCCCTATGCTCGAGCACAGAGGTCTCTTTCTGTTGTGTAGCCCAGTCAACAAAGAGATCGGGGATGAGTGCGTTAAGAAGATCACCTGCTTTATCGAGGACGCCCAGAAGACTTGGCTGCATCCAGATGCTCCGCTCCGCGTCAATCGGCCAGCATTTTTTTGCCGAGATCAAGAATTTTTGTATTCAATTCCTATTCCAGAACATTAAATTCCTCAGGTTCTCTAGTACTCATTCTAGAACGAAGTTTTCCGAAGCAGTTGCAAACAAAAAATCCACTGTCATTTCTATCCTCCCTCTACTCCCTCTCTACCTCTCGACGTTGGTGGTTCAATCCTACGACGCCATTAATGGGAATGCTGCACCATCCCTTTTGTCGTGCTACGGCTTGGTCAAGGGCCTCAGCTTGGCGCTGGCATTCATTCAGCTTGGTCAAGAGGGTGAACTATTGAGACACATTGATCGACTCATTTTAGACATCGAAGAATCATACGGTGCCATAAAGGCGGAACTGGGTGCTTGTCGGGGTATCACAGTGTCTGGGAGGGAAAGATCTGTTTATAGATGCGAAAGAAATCCGGTTCGATGCTGGTCCGCAATTGAATGGTCTTATACAGTCTTGTTGGGACTTTAGAGATGATTTGGAGAGAGCAGGGGGGGGGGGGGAGATATGGAGACTTGATCTAGAAACAGGCGTAACGGTTTGCCATTCAGACTGGGAGGTGAGATGGTTGAGGGCTCTGGGGTCTGGTTTGGTATACCGACGATACGATGCTAACGGTACCATTCTTTAATTTAATTCTAGCGCAGCGGTAACCAGGAGGCACAGCGAAAGGGAAGGCAGAGAATCAATCGGATACAACAAATACACAGGATTATCGGACTCGTTAGGGAAGAACTTGGCTCTTCGAAGGAAGCCTTCTGATAGCTTGGGTAGCGATGTTATGATAGAGTGACTTTTATGGATGTAGGATACACTTAGCTGACTGTATGACTGTGGTTATTGGCATCCTAAACGAATTGCATGCCATGACAATTTGGGTGAGTTTAATCCAACTCAATATTGTAACCACTTAATCCATCTTCAATTTGATAATAGGCGAGAACATTTTAGCTTTACTCTCCGACCCCTACTTTCCATCCCTATCATACGTCCACACTGCAACATCAACCTACTACTTCGGACACGTCGAAGGAAAATAAGTAATAACTCTCCTACTTTGCGTGATGATTTCACCACTTTCTAACTAGATTGCAGGTGGTCAGAATTTCAGCATGACTAAAGCCTACCTATATTATCATCGAAGAAACATAGGATTCACGACATTTTATTTGCACTTCTGTGCTGCACGTATCAATCTATCCTTCTGTTTCTATGCATATAAAAAAGAATCCTAAGCTCACACCATCTTGAACAAGATATCTATGCACTTACAGCCCACTTCACAGCAGCACACCAATGATAGAATCACCCCAAGAGAATGGTGAACGGGTGAAACCATCCTACTGTCCATCACCCTCCAAGAGCTTCACCAAGTGTCATGTGCGGACGCTACGATAACACCAGCACATCCCAATATCCAAGTGACCGTCTTTCGTATCCTCTCAATCCACGATTAGCCAGCTGAGTCTAGAATTTGCGATGCCATACCCCTTCAAGCGCAACTCGCGTTCATGACACATCTCGGCCCCGGCCCCCAGGCTGCTTTAGCATGGCGTCGATATCTGCTATCAAGTCATCGAGCTATACCGCTCCAAACTCGGAGACGGGCTCTATATGGTCGTCAAAGAGGAACAGCTTTAGGTTATGAAGAATGCAGTTTGAACAGCGGGAGAAGAAAGCCTTTCGCCTTCGGTCGCGAACAGACTCCGAAGGAAGAATTGACTTCAGGAGCGCGACACTGAGGCCTTGAACCAAGTGAGTCGAAGGAAGCGAAAGGATAATAGGGAGGTTTGTTTGCTAGCTCGAACTTTTTACCTCGACCTACTGGCTCATGGTCTTGAGGCATTTATCCATCTCTTTTTGATTGATTTGCAAGATAGATACAGACTCTTTAATTGTGGTATGGGCCAGAGAGACACTGATGCAATGTATCCATACATAAGGAGGCGGAATTCTGCCGGCAAGTGGAGGTGTGTGGTAGCTATTTGGTCGTAGAAAGAGCCGACCTCGATGCCGACCTGGATTCTGCAGCTGCGACTTAGGTATCAGGCTTTCGCTTATTGAAGACCCGGTACCCGAACAATGCGACGATGGCCATTACAGCTCAGTTGGAGATTGGAGCTGGTGATGAGGATTACTAATGGTCTAGAAGGAGAATTGGCGGAGGAGGAGCACCTGCGCTTTCGAAAAAAAAAAAGCTCAACATGGCTGCTGGTTTAGAGTTGGAAGACTTGGTTTAGAAGTCCTCATGTTTTTATGACGGGGTGGCATAAACAGGACATTCTGTGTTCTATATCTGCCCCAAAGAACTTTAAGTGAAAGTGGTGACATGAACGGATTCTACAAACTTCGTGGGGCTTGTGCAGTCAGTGACTGCCACTTTCACTCCAGAGGGGAGAGTAGATTATCATCTGAATGCTCGGGTAGAATCGCGGGCTTGGTCTATTTTCATGACCGGCCAAGCTGTAGTACTCAATATTGAATGGAAGTGGATTGGGCTATTTTGGGTGTTCTGAAGCCTATAGATACGCGGAAACGGCGGGATCCGCTGGAGGTAGAGATGGCCCGGCTCACAGAATTACTCTAGATAGCAGTTGTGGTTGTTGATTTATGAATAGTGCATGGAACCATGGTAGAGTTTTGGCGTCTGTGGGGTAAATTGAACCGGCATAGATAGACGAATATTGACGAGGCTCTGGGATCTCATTCTCGGGTATAAAAACATTGGGTGCTGAGAGTGACTCATAACATGGATTTCCAAAGTGGCAAAAGGAGTAAAAAAAGGCAGTCTGTGCTTGTCCCTCTACTGTTTGTGGTGTGTTGGAAGCGGCGATTGGATTTAGAGGGAAGGGCTTCCGTGTGCCAAAATGGGAAGTGCAAGTTGCTTAGGCGCAGCGATTGAGAGCATCTTCCGATTAAACCTAGTTGTCTTCGCGCAGTTTGGTGAGAAATGGAGAACTGCACATTTGATCAAAAGTGATGGCTAATTACAAACACGATTAACAAACATTTCTTTCCCCCTTTCCATATTGAGACTCTAGAATCATTCCACCAAAGGAAAACATTTCCCAAAGCAGGGGGAGCAAAATCCACCAATTAAGGTGACTAGTCCCAGGCGGACAGTTTCAAGGGATGGTGGGGTTGAGAGACTCAGCTTGTCGAAATCTCTCACGAGGTACTAGTAGGACGATATAGTAGAGTGGAAACGAAGCGATGGTAGAGTTTATCTTCATCATGCCAACTCGTGGCCGCGACTTCCCCAACATGGATCGTGAATTTCTTGAGGGAAAGCAACAGGAGAATGAAAGGATTGTTAGACCTAAGGGGCTCAGCTTTCTCACATCCATGTTAAAATCGACATATCGTAAGATCCCCTTTCAGACCACCCAAGATCCAGAGAGGTAAATCAAGCTTCAAGGTTGGAGACAGTGGAAGTGACCCAAGAGTGCATGCTGGGTTGGAGTGACAATAAGGCCGACCAGACTAACCGGAAGTGGGCAAGTGCGGGATGACTAATATGAGCCCAAGTCGCGTGCAGCTAAATGACGGCAAGACTCGCGATGTTTGCTTGCACACTTCACTTTCACCGCATCCGAACGCTACAAAGGTTCTCGTTGGAAGGACCTGCGCATTCCGATAATGCTTGTAACATAACTTGCCTACCGCTACGAGGGATGCGGTCAGCATGGAGCGCATACCTATCGCCGAGCTCTCGCCGGAGCTAGCCTCCGTCGAATCGAAGCAGTTCAAAGCTGTTGTAACCCTTGTCTGGCCGTACTCATCCTCCACACGACAATGCGCTTTGCTTCTTGCCGAGCACGACTTCCGTCTTCGACGCAAGAAGGGTCAGGTCAGGGTGCGCTTCTCGGGGGCTGCTGCGAAAGCACTTGCGGAGACTGGCATTGGCATTTCAGATGATGTTGAATTGGGCTTGCAAGGTGCGCAGTTTGTGGAAAATGACGCTGAAGTTAGCACACCTGGAAAGAGCGTTGATTGGGAGCTCGCATATTCTCTGACATTGATCGTGAAGGTGCGCAAACATGGAGACTCCTCTGGGGTGGATTGGGGCTAAAGTGTGTACAGATATATCGTGACGGGAACGAGATCGCAAATCTAGATATTCACAATGCGTCGCCTGTCCGACAGCCCGGCCAACAACCAATTCTTGCGACTCCTATCCAGACTATCCGCCCCCCAAGCGATATGCAACAATGGTCTACACCTGTTGCTTTTCTCAAGCGTGCTAGGCTTTTGGATGGGCCCTCCTTTGGAGCCGGCTATGACCCCCTGGCTCAAGATGGAGAATTGGACAATGATAGAAAGAACAAGCGGCGCAGGAAGTCTTACAAGGACTGGGGTGTGTGGACCTACTCGGCGAGAACCCCGTCTCCGGAGAAAGAAGATGTGGACATGGAAGATGAATACGACGAGATATTGACTTCGCCCATACGGCAGACGCTACTTCCCGCAACCCCAGTACTTCCACCCAAACCCAGAACCTTCTCTGTTGCAACACCCCCCCTCAAAGATTCTGGAGGGGAGGCAAAACACGATGAGCCCATGAAGACATCGCTGGCATTTGAGAACGGCGTGGTTGAAAAGCGTAATATCGCTGAGAAGACCGCCTCCAACAAATCGCTAAATGATGATTTCGTACGCGACGCTGACTATTACGACTTGTACGCCGGTCCTAATGAATATCCGCCGTCAGAAGTGCAATATGCTTATGGGGGCGATACCGAATCGAATACGGAGGAAGATGGTAGCCAGGAAGGACACCGGACTACCGAGATTTTAAATGTTGCGGAAGTTGGCTCTGAGGAACCCTCTCATGATCAACAACCCCACGAGACCGCTAAAGAGATTGAAGTGATCTCTACTTCCAAATCATCCTACGTAGCTGATGGAAAGGAGAATGCTCGACCCTCAAGAGAAGACCGTGTTCTTGAACACACTGAAATTTTTGATGACGACATTGTAGATCTCGCATCAGACGGACGAGTACATGCACAGCACGAATCGCCACTTCATTTAGATACACCAATTATTGTCATGCCTCCTCCAACGTTACCGTCTCTTCAGACAGATTTTCCCTCCACATTAGCGTCAGGCATGTTGACTCCCATTGGCCAGGAACCTCAAAGCCCTGTCATAAAACCGCTGGACTCTTCTACCTTGCCGCTACCTTCCCCTTTTCCCGGCGACAGAGATGGAAACGGCATCTCGTATCTCGATCGCCCTGGCCCCTCCTATGAATATGCTCCGTCCGTAGGTACATCCAGGCAAGAACAAGAGACTTTAAGCGAAGCCAGCTATTTTGTTGAGTCGAGCTTCTACAGCTCGGTAAGCGCGGCCAACGCCTCTACAGTACATCCAACTCACGAGTCCGCTTTCACGGATGTAAGATTCCAGTTCGGTATCGACGGCTCTGTCTTCTCACGCGAGAAGGCACCATTAAAATCTCCCTCTCCAGAAGATGTGTATACCGACGACGAATCTCATCCCGAGAGTGCAATGGTACGCGGGGGCTCCCTAGATTGGATGGCAAACCAAAAGGCGCATCAAATGAAAGAAGCAAAAGCGGATGAATTGATAGATAGGAAGGTAGACCAAAGGGTGAACGGGATGGTGGATGGGATAGCACAGGAGGAACCCAACCTCCATGAAGCTTTCACCAAAAGCGAGGCCAATGCTTCTATAGTTGAACCGATTCACATGCACCAACAGTTAGATAGTGTTTCTGCCGCTACAGATTCACCACGGTCAGCTTCCATACAGTCAACCCAACCTGAAGTGGTTGTTATCTCCTCGGACGACGAGATTGATAGTAGTACGGATGTCAGCCAATCTGATTCCGAGATGGAGGATGACGCAGAGCTAGCTAGCTTAGATGATGAGAATCTGTCGACTGGGGACGGCGATGATCAAGAGGACGCAGAGCAAGAAGAAACCCATCGGTCAGGGGTTTTGTCTCAAGTGATCGATCTTGGTTCAGATTCCGAGGACGACAGCGATGATAATGAGGAAGCGAAGGAAGGTCCGGCTGCCACCATAAACAAGGACGAAAACGAGGACTTTAGGCCATCAGGCCCTTTTGACCCTAATACGATCGAAGCTGAGACGTTTCATTGTTCCCCCTCGCGCGCATCTGCGCTAAGAGAGACACAACAAGGCAAGGAAAATGCCCCATACGCTGGCAGGGGAGATATGTCAGCACCTATGGCCGTCTTGGATAATACTGACAGAAACGAAGACTCGGGTTGGATTGATACTGATGAAGTGGATGTTCACCAGAGCCAACTGCCATCAACCATAGCCACAGGCAATCAAGGCAAAGTCCAGGGTGGAGATTTTAATGATAACGACCTTCCTATTGCTATGAATGAACGAGGTGGTCTTAGCCCGGACGCCATGTCGACACAAGGAGCTATTCCTGAGACTCTAGACACTGTCGATCACGATCCAGATGTCAAAATGGAGTCCATTGAGGAAGAGTCATCATTTCTGTTCAATGAGCCGGATCATTCACAAATGCAGGACGAGGACGAAGACTCTGTTGCTGGCTCTTCTACGGAGCTTACGATAGCTGTACCTGAAGAAGGCCATAAATTAGGGGAACTGCAGCTGAAAACTGTGGCGGCAACAGGACCATCCAGAAACACGAGGTCGAAGACAAAGGCCTCTCTATCTCCTGTAAAGAATGATACTCCCGCATCACAAAACAAGCCTCAATCGAGAAGGACGAAGACTTCTCTTACTTCAGTAGTGCGGGCCACTCAATCTCCTTCCAGGACAACACGTTCTACTATCTCAACAGTGAAAGGACGGGTTCCTGCCTCGTCCTATGGTCTCCGATCCCGATCTAAGAATCCCTCTCCAATGAAGATTGCACCATCGAAGAGCATTGCCTCACCTGAAAGCCCCCGCAGGTCACAACTCACGGAGATATCGAGCGCATTGTCGTCGCATCTGAAGGACGCGTTTGCTAAACTGGAGCCAACTCCCTTTGAGCCTATCGAATTCCCCGATACAAGCTTCGGGCCATCCCAAGAACTTGGTGCTATTCAAGGCAAGTTCGCCAATGTGTCTTTTGTGAGGGACTCCGAAGAGGGTAGTTTTGACTCAGCTCATTCTCTCTCTACCATTCCTTACTCTGACGATTTTGATGGGTTTGGCACGCAGACATATCTTGATCTAAGCGATTCAGGCTACCCTACAGCTAACACTCGAGATGCAGTTGCGATGTATCCAACAATCCCGCCCACTGATGGAGATTCTGCGACAGAAGTAAACGCTCAACCTGAGGCGAAAACCAAGTGGAAAGACTTACCGCCAAATTCTGTTTCGCAGGATCGTGGAACACAGCGTCGACCCTCTTACTCGTCTATCACCCACAAGTCCTTTAGTAGCCCTATCAAATTGCGAGGCGCGAGAAGGAACGTTTACCACTCTTCACCCGATCCCCCCGAAGTATTGGCAGTTTCTACAGACGAGTTGCTAGGTGAAGTTACACCGAAAGTGAGGTCGCGGGCCAAACAGATCGCGTACCCGGAGCTCCCAGTCGAAGCCATCGTTCAGGTTCCAAGTTCTCCACCTGCCGCGATCGACCCTGAGTGGCAAGCCCGAATGACTACAGCCGCAAGTGAAGATAATGAGGAGCGAATTCCAAGTTCACCACCACCAATCGGTGAAGCTGGGCAGATGTCAACGTCGGTCAACCAGCAATCGCTGATGAACAGCAATATGCCCATCACGCCTGACGCGACTCAGCAATCGTTCATCGAGTCTCAACCCACCTTTCAAACCATGGAGCAGAACCTTCCAATGACACCCGAGCTCACCCAAAACACGTCCGCTGGCTTGCGCACTAATTCTTTCAAAAGCGATGTGGAAATGGAAGAAGTGTCCGCTGAATCACTCATCAAACCCCCTCCCATCGCCAAAACAACACTCCGTCACAATACCACCTCAGCGGACACCGCATCTCGCGACATCTCCCCCAGCATCCACTCCGAAGACCTCTCCAACTCAGACGACGAAGCTGGCCTCGCCACAAACCTCTCCCCGCCATCCATCGGCCTCTCAACCCCGCTCCAATACTATACGCCCCTAAAAGACCTCTCTTTCTACTTAAACCGCTCTTCGCAATTACACCCCGCCTCAAACCCTGATGTCCTGGCGCTCGTAACCAGCCCCACGACACCCGCCAAGCGCGCAGAAAAAGGACCGAGGGATTGGCACACCACGTTGCAAATTACGGATCTCTCAAGCTTTCCGTCTACCACCACCGTCCAGGTCTTCCGGGTATATAGCATGGCACTACCGGTCGCGCAACCAGGCGATGTGATCTTACTGCGGAAATTCTTGGTCAGGGGATTGAATAGGAAGGAGATCTTGATCAGTGGTGAGGAGAGCGCGTGGTGTGTGTGGCGCTATGGGAGATTGCTTTGGGGGAAGAAGAGTGGGGAGTTTGGCGAGGTGAGGGCGAGGGAGGAAGTAAAGGGGCCGGCTGTTGAGAGGGGGAGGGGGGAGTGGAGAGAAGTGGAGAAGCTGAGGGGGTGGTGGCTTGGGAGTGTACAGCTGGAGTTGGAGGGGCGGAAGGAGAAGGAGAAGGAGAATGGGATGGAGATGAGGTGGAGGGTTAATAGGGAGTTTATTGGGAAGGGGAAGGGGAAAGGGAAAGAGAAAGAGAAGGCACTGGATGGAGTTCCTGGGGATGTGGAGACCTGATTTTGCATTCAAGGATCGGGGTTTTTGTTGCTCTGCATTTGCTGGTGCACGGGTTTCCGGGTTCGATATTCTGCCTGGGAGGGAGGGGTCCTGCACCTTGTGGTGTGAAATTGGTGTTTTCTTAATGGATTGGGAAAAGCTGGTGAAATGGTTGCATCTCTTACGCCGCCATGGATGCACATACACTATAGTTAGCATGTAAGGGGTACTCAAGGAGGAACATTAGCATATCCCTAGAAGGATGCACAATGGCCTCTTTGCACGCTTCACATTCCAAGCAGTATTTCCAACACTTTTTGTTTTACGTTATACCCATATCATATCATATATTTCGTCTCATTTTGTTGTGATTCTATGAACGCCAGAGGGTCTTCCATCCTCCCACCATCCCTGCATCAGACCGTGTGTATCTACTGCTGTAGGGTTGGATGGGCAGGTGGTCTATCTACGGCTTCTCGTAGATCCAGTCGAACTGCGCGGACTTCCAGGATTGGATCTCCTCGGGCTTGAACCAGAGGGCAATTTCCTTTTTGGCGCTGTCAACAGCGTCACTGCCGTGGCAGACGTTGCGGCCGACATCCTAGATAAGTACGTTAAAATGGTGACCTACCGACACGTATCATTGCGAGAAAGTTTGGGAGAGGTATGGGGGCTTGTGGCGGAGGCTTGTGGAAGGGGGCTGTGGTTGACATACAATGGCGTAGTCACCGCGGATGGTGCCTGGGGCTGAGGCGAGAGGGTTGGTGGCTCCAAGGATGGCACGCCCGGTCTTCACGACATCACGGCCTTCCCAGACCATGGCGCAGACGGGTCCAGAGCCCATATCTAAGATGAAACTTGTTAGCGTGGTTTTTGTTGTTGCGGCAAGCAAGATTGTGGTGGGAGGGATTGAAAATGAGGTAGCGCGGGGTATAGTGGGGTGTCATACAGGCAATGAGCCCTGGGAAGAAGGGCTTGGAGGACAAATCCTCATAGTGCTTCTCGAGGTGCTCCTTTGTCGGGGTGACGAGCTTGATGGCAGCGAGCTTGAAGCCACGAGCCTCGAAGCGTGAGATGATGGGACCGATCAGGCCGCGCTGCACAATTCACACTACAATTAGCCCAACAATTTAATTCTCCGTTGCTCTTGCAATTGATTCTTCGACTTACTTGAACGCCATCAGGCTTAACAGCAATAAAGCTGCAAAATAGTCAGGCATGGTTCACCGCTTGTTTCTGTTTGGTCTGGAGGGGCAGGGCTGGAGGGAGATGTACGTCTGTTCGGTAGTCATTTCGACGAATTCTCGCTCTTTGGCAGCGTGGGCTTCGATGTTTCGGCGTAAATAAGCTCTGTCTTTAGGACCGAGCTTTGCAAAAATTGGGGGGTCGGGGATGCCAGAGGGATAGTGCGAGGAAGAGGCGGAGACGGAGTCTTGATGGGGCTCCATGAAAATATTTGGCGCCCGTCGTGCTTGTGATGGTGGGGTCGTCGAGTCGGGAGATAGCTTGGCGTGCGTTAATCCTTCTCCTGCATGGCTCCCCTAAACCTTGCATAGTTTAGCTCCGGAGCCTGCTGGTAAGTGCCGGTTGCATTAAGTTTTTCGATCCGTACATACAGTACACCAAAACAGAATTTATATAACATAGTTAGCGATAGCACATTATTCGCTTACATTAGGCCACTTAGATCCCACAAGCTGACTATCCTCCAAGTCTCCGCTCCTGCCCTTCACTTCGGTGAATTGACAATTAGCACTCGCCTACCCCCAGTATGCTTATTGAATGACAAGTTCTTCAACATCCTTGATATCCCTGAGAGCTCCCAACTCAAATGCATTAGCAGTCTGGTTATCTGACAACTCTATCAACCTTGGCAAGTGTTCAATTTCTTCAGGAAATAGTCGGAGGATGGTTGCAATATCCGCATCACTTTGCTCTGGGCTTGGTCCCCAGGCTCGAATGGCAGTCTTAGTCCCATTCAGCGACCCAGCTGTAAATAGAGAGAGGCGGTAAGCCAATGCGTCAACCGCCTCACGCAACTCCTCGGCAGAACTATACGCGTGGTTCACCCATCCCACTGCAGCGGCTTCCTGTGCTCCAATGCTCGTGGCGGCCAGGAGGTATTCGGCAGCTTTCGCCATCCCCAATTTGCGAACTAGATATTGGATCCCACCGTTGCCTTGCAGGCCTCCAACAGCACCTTCCAGGGATCCGACGACGGCGTTCGGCCCGGCGAAGGCCATGTCGCATTGGACGAGGAATTCGTTCCCCGAGCCCGTTGCATGACCGTTTATCTCGGCGATGAATATCGTGGGGAGGGTGGATAGGAGGCGAGTTGTTGCAACAGCGGAGGCGAAGAGCGCGTTAGTTTCATTCGTGGACAAGTTCGTTCCTCCTGGAAGGATGAGGTTGATGTCATAGTGGCCAATCCAGAAGTCGGGATTGTCAGAGGAGAAGACCACCACTTTTGGGGGCGGGTGTGTCGTGTTGGAAGGGATGTTGGCGGGTTTGAGGCTGTTGAGAAGGGCCGTCATGTCTGTGCTTAGTTTGGCGTCATAAAGATTGATAGGTCCGTTTTGGATGTTGACACGGAGAGTAGAGCCATTGTTGCTCCGTGTTGTAGAGAGAGTTCCGTAGCCAAATGTGCCATTTTTCTGCCATGGCAGAGGACTTGAGGTTGCGCTGACAGCGAGGGCAGCGCTGAGAAGCTGGACTGACCTTTTTAACATGATATATAGCGGATAATACGAATGGGCTTGTTTAGAATATCGATATAATGAGAATGAACAAATGAATAGAGACCAAGGAGCTGTATTTAGTTTATGTTAGAGGAAGCCCGGACAACGGACAAATTCGACGAAGGTATCAGAGGTGAATAGTAATTATTTCAACCTCCCTTGTATAATCTGGTATGACACGAGAGCTTCATTTCCGTACCTATTTCCATGACTAGATTTCTAAGGGAATACCACGTGACGGAAGGTTGTATTACTCACCTGCAGGTTTCCCTTGCCTGAGACATATACCTTTCTATGGTGAGAAATTGAAGGGACGGATTCTGGATCCGGGAAATTCCAAGTAGACTTTAGAGTTTCGGACCAACCTTTGTTTAAATCCGTATGCCGTCATCCTAAGTTACTAATGATCTCTGGATGCCGGATCATCGTGCTTCCGCTGGCACCGAACCCCTTCCTTACAAAGCCATGATAAATACTCCATGCCCGCCAACGTCGGTGGCTCCGCGCTACACTTATTACACAGACAGAAGGTTTGCTGACGTGCTGCATTACGGAAGGCAGGTCAGTGGCGCCGAGAGCACGTTAGGACATCGAATGCAAGGGCGTTAGGAGCCTTGAAAGGGAAGAGTCCTTTGGTAAACGACTGGAAATAACCCGTAAGGAGAATTTGTGTGATGGTGGAGGAATAAGATGGAAGCGAAGAAAGCGACATGGATACTATGAAGGTAGTCGCAACGGCCCCCAACACCACCACGCCTAAACCGATTGGTAGTTAGCTCTCACATTAAGGACCGTATCGTTGCAGTGAAGTTCAAGTGCTCTCGGCGAGGACAGACAAACCATCTAGCAACAACAGCGCCGGCCCGAACCTAGTTGGCATCCTGGAACGCAACTACAACCGCTAACGCACAGATCGATGTATTGACCAACATTAAAGGTAGCTGCATCGCCATTGGGAGTAACAAAAGAACAGACACGAGAGCAAAGAACACTGGCAGTGGCAGCGATGTAGGAACAGAAGCAGCAGCGAAGCAGACAGAGGGCGACAAGAACAAGCAAGTTAGATTAAGACCTCGACACCAAAACACCTTGGAGCAACTTTATTTGAATTTATATTAAACGAAAAGATAGGATTGGAAGTACCGTATAGATTTAGGAGTTTAAAAAGGAAAGAATTTTTCGTGGCGAGATCAAGTGCATGTCAAGTTATTGGGGCTGATGGCCTTAGGCCCTTAGCATACAGGTAAGTTGTGCACGTACTAGGCCTCCTTTAGTGTTTCATAACGCAAGGGTAATCGTGCATAGCTGACTAAGCCCCGCAGTTGCACACCTGGCGTTTGAGACGACAATTCAGCAGGCGAAGTCCAAAGTTCAGCTTCAGCTGTCTTCCGAGAAGATACTAGGCAGACAGCTGAGAGACATGATGTTTTCGCTAGCTATAGCGTCTGCTCCCGGGTGGACGGCCATTTTCCTTTTGTTCGCTACGCTGTGCGCGCTCTTTTCCCCAGCTGGTGTGTTTATCTTCTCAGCTCCCTGGCCCCACTGCGCTCGTCTTTGAGCTCTGAACTGATAGATATCTTTAGTTATGGTGAAGCACGAAAACTTCAAGAAGTGCGACCAATCCGGCTTCTGCAAACGCAATCGATTATACGCTGACACGGCCGCGGCTGCCTCATCCTGGACCGCGCCGTATTCACTCGATCCTACCTCGATCAAGTTCAACGATGGCCAATTGTCGGGGGTAATACTGAAGAGCCTGGGTGGAGGCCAGGAGCATGTCAAGCTCCCGCTTACGGTGACATTTCTCGAGTCTGGCGTTGCGCGCGTAACCCTAGACGAGGAGAAGCGGCAGAAGGGTGATATTGCACTGAGGGGAGACAGCAAGGCGAGGAAGGAGAGGTATAATGAAGCTGGAAGCTGGGCTCTGGTCGGTGGTTTGGAGGTCGCTAAGGGTGCAGCTTTGAGCGAGAAGGTGGAGAAGGGGTATACCAAGGTTTACTATGGCCAGGGCGGGAGGCATGAGGCCGTGATTCGGCATGATCCTTTTAGTGTTGATTTTAAGAGGGATGGAGAGACTCAGGTCAGGTTCAATGAACGGGGCCTGCTGAATATGGAACATTGGAGACCAAAGATCGAGAAGCCGGTTGAGGAAAAGCAGGAGGGCGAGGAACAGAAGGAGGAGGACGAGCAGAAGAAGGAGGACGAGGACGAGCAGGAAAAGAAGATAGAGGAGCCGAAAGGTGAAGATGAAACTACGTGGTGGGATGAGAGCTTCGGTGGTAATACCGATTCCAAGCCGAGAGGCCCCGAGGCTGTCGCACTGGATATCTCGTTCCCTGGCTATGAGCATGTTTTTGGCATCCCTGAACATGCTACCGGCTTGTCTTTGAAGACCACAAGGCATGTTCATCTTGGTTTGTGACAAGTCTTAGGCTAATTAGAATCTAGGGGCGGCGAAGGTAACTACAACGAGCCATACCGATTGTACAACGCAGACGTCTTCGAGTATGAAATAGACAGTCCCATGACTCTCTATGGATCTATTCCATTGATGCAGGCTCACCGTAAGGGCTCTACAGTCGGTGTTTTCTGGATGAACGCCGCCGAGACCTGGGTCGATGTCGTCAAGTCTAAGGCCACTGCAAACCCGCTTAGCTTAGGCGTGAAGGGACACACCGATACTCAAACTCACTGGATCTCGGAGAGTGGTCTTTTGGATGTCTTCGTCTTCCTTGGCCCCACCCCTCAGGACCTCACGCGCCAATATGGTGAATTGACCGGGTTCACTGCCATGCCGCAATCTTTCGCCATCGCTTACCACCAATGTCGGTGGAACTACGTCACTGATACAGACGTCATGGACATCGACCGCAAATTCGACAAGTTCAAGATTCCATACGATGTCATCTGGCTCGACATCGAGTACACTCACGAGAAGAAGTACTTCACCTGGGACCCGTTGGCTTTCGTGAACCCCAAGAAGATGCATAAGCACCTCGGCAAGCGGGGTAGGAAGCTGGTAGCTATTATTGACCCTCATATCAAAAACACTGACAACTATCCAGTTGTTGACGAAATGAAGAAGAAGGACCTGGCTGTCAAGAACAAGGATGGTAATCAATACGAGGGTTGGTGCTGGCCAGGATCTTCTTACTGGGTCGACTGTTTTAACCCCGCCGCTATTACCTGGTGGAAAGGGTTGTTCAAGTATGATAGCTTCAAGGGTACTGCACCTAATACCTTCATCTGGAACGATATGAACGAACCGTCGGTTTTTAACGGCCCTGAGACAACCATGCCTAAGGACAACTTGCACTTTGGTAACTGGGAGCACCGAGATGTCCACAATCTGAATGGCATGACCTTCCACAATGCGACCTACGAAGCCCTGCTCGAGCGCAAGAAGGGCGAGATCCGCCGTCCATTTGTCTTAACCCGCTCATTCTACTCTGGAAGCCAGCGTATCGGTGCTATGTGGACTGGTGACAACTTGGCTGAATGGTCTCACCTGGAAGCCTCCCTTCCTATGGTATTGAACCAAGGTATCTCTGGGTTCCCATTCGCCGGTGCTGACGTAGGAGGATTCTTCGGTAATCCATCAAAAGAACTCCTTACCCGGTGGTATCAGGCTGGTATCTACTATCCCTTCTTCCGCGGTCATGCTCATATTGATACCCGACGTCGCGAGCCTTACGTTCCCGGCCCGCCATACACTGGTATCATCACACAAGCCCTGAGACTGCGCTACCAGCTTCTTCCAGCTTGGTATACTGCCTTCCACGAAGCTGCCACCACTGGCGCACCCATCGTCCGACCAAACTTCTACATCCACCCAGAAGACGAGAAAGGCTTCGCAGTCGACGATCAACTCTACATCGGTTCGACCGGGCTCCTTGCCAAGCCCGTCACCAAGGAAGGCGCTGACAGCGTCTCCATTTACATTGCCGACTCCCAACCCTACTACGACTACTTCGACTACACTCTCTACCAGGGCCCCGGCCACCACACAGTCCCCGCACCCCTTGAAAAAATCCCGCTCCTCATGCAAGGCGGTCACATCATCCCACGCCGCGACCGTCCGCGCCGCAGCTCTGGGCTTATGAAATTCGACCCCTTCACTCTCGTCATCGTGCTCGATAACGCTGGAAACGCTGAAGGCAGCATATACGTCGACGACGGCGAGACGTTTGACTACAAACTCGGCGCTTACATCCATCGGCGATTTAGCTTCGATGGAGGGAGAAACGCACTAACGTCTGTGAATGTTGGGACGAAGGGTCCAAAGACAGACGCTTATCTTAAGACTATGACGAAGGTGCGAGTGGAGAAGGTGATCATTGTGAGCGCACCGAAGGAGTGGAAGGGGAAGAAGGAGGTTGTGGTGAGTGAGGAGGGGGCGAAGGAGAGTGCGAGAAGGAAGAAGGTGGCGTTCTCGTATCATGAAGGGAGTGGGAAAACGGCTGCTTGGGCGGTGGTCAGGGATCCGAAGGTGGGGATTGGGAAGGGGTGGAAGATTGATTTTTCGTGAGGGGTGGAGGGAGAGATGGTTGGTCGGTGGTGGTCGTTGGTGGCTCTCGAAAAATACCAGGGTAGATAGCATGTATGGGTGTTGAAGATGAAGGAGGATGTAAATGTAGACTAGATAGACCTTGCTTGCTACTTGGAATGCATACTGGAGTCTGGAGATTGTTCTTCTCGGGAGGTCTGCGAACTCCCCCTTCCCTTTCCTCGTTCCAGGCTCCTATCTCGCGTCCCACTCCTAGGCGGCGATACCACCAGATTCCCCTCAATGGTCATCTATCCGCGGTCCTCGTCCCACGTCCCAACAAAACAAACCAATGGCGAGTCTATATATCTTAACATGGTAACCCGGGTTAAAACCTATTGGCCGGTCGATACCAAGCATGTTTGGAAACGTGAATTGGCTTGCAGCTGCAGTATCACAGCGGCTATTCAATGATCACCTCAGGAGGCGGAACGAAGCGCTCGGAAGGGGCTCCATGCGCCTGCCTGATACGGTTAAGTGCGTTTTCCAAGGGGGAGGGAGAACTCCCGCGGCGTAGGAAGGGGAAGGCCTGTTTGAGATGCATATTCCTTGGGAACGAGCTGAATATGACAAATATTATTATACAGGCATCGTAGATTTGGCGAGACTAGAAGCGTATGAGATGGTTGAGTGAGGATTTGGGAAAGATGCCCGGGGATGGAGCGCACTTGTCAAATGGGATCTGTGCCACACGGCATGGTTTGTCCACCACTAATGCCGATTGAGTTCCTTTTAGCCAATTTTCACGAATGCTAATTAGGTCCTTCACTCACGGGGAACCGCTTTTAGGGGCGGTTCTCTGTTTTTGGTGAATGGAAATAGTGCACTGGAAATCTCAGTCTTCTATAACGGTTTCACGGATTTGAACATTCGTGTTCAGTTTTTAGTTTCCCATTTCTGTTTTATAAGTGTCTAAACTTCGGTGAACGAGTATAGGATGCAGGTTGGCTAACCTGACGAAAGTGTATCGGATTCAGTCGGAGCGCTAACTTAATGGGATAGTCGGACTTCGCCGGGAGTGAATAGTTGTACTGTTTTGTCGGGCTGGACGTCTGCCCGGTCTTATGACAGCCCTCAACACTTGAGTGTCACCAACCGCACGCCTTCCAACGTAGTACATCTTAACTTAGGTCCTACCTAGGGACTAATAGTCAACTAAGGGGGCACAACCTGTCCAATTAGTATCCCCGGTCGTGAACCCGATAGTCGTTATAAGTTGATGGACTAGTCCAATAAAAGGACCCGCTGGGGCCGACAACTGGACTCGATGCAATATCTGGGTGGATAAGAAGAGGGTGCGTGACTGATCATATAAGAAACGTGATACATCAGGCGCGATGTTGATGCTGATTTTACGTCTCTCTCCTACATATGAGTTTCCGTTTTCTGTTTCGGCATTTTAAGTCTCTGAGTTATTACATAGGAAACGATCGCGATGCTAATATTACTCTCTTATATCTCTACAAGCCATTTTTGGTTTTGTGGTTTGCCTTTCTGAGTCCAGTCTTAGTTCAGATAAATGAAGTAAATAGGACAAGTCATGAGTTTGGTCGATGTTTCTTTTCAATCTCCGGATTTTGGGGTTTGAAATACACGAGAAGAAAAACAGGATATAGGATTTGGGAAATGGAAAACTGGCGAGATACGAACACTTGTGATTCGTTGCTCCTGCAACGGGACCACATTACAACACCTCCTTTGGACCCTCTTGATGTAAAGTATCTGTACGCTTCTAGGAAGTGAAGTTTTGGCTTCTATCTTTTAGTTTTTAGCTTTCTATTTTCGCCAATGGTTTTTAGCTTTTAACTTTTGGCTTTTGAATTTTGGCTTTTAGCTTTTAGCTTTCAGCTTTTGGCTCCCCCAAGTCTTTGACTCTTCAATGATTGCGAAATTAAAATGCACGGGCACTAGACATAGTTAATACCAGCACAATATCTCACTGACTGAAGTCGGGAGCTACTCCCTCTGCCTCTGTCCGCTGCGAGAAGGTCCGCCAAGCGCTCCAAGAATAGAGAACAGTTTCTGATTTCCCGTTTCCCGTTTCCTGTTTCTGGTTTCCGTTTTAATTCCACTTCTCAGACAGCACACCGGTTACAGGAAACGGTAAACAGCCTTGATTCTAGCGCTGACGCCCTTAAAAAATATAAAAGGAGCTGCTGCTATCGCTTTTTACACTCGTTTCTATTTCCTCTCAGTCACAATCCCACCAAGTCCCGTCACGTGATTTCTCGTTCACGAACTTTCTGCTTTGAATTTTACCTACTCTTCCTTTGCAGAACAACTTCCCACAGTTCCTTGTAAAGCTCTACCCTTTCCCTAAACATTCCACCCACATCAGCGCCAATTTATTCCCAATTTGGGTTCCTTCATTACAACCTCCATCAGCCATCATGAACCCATACTACACCACTCAACCGACCATGTCCATGTCCGCCCCGAACATGTCGCCGGACCCGAACTTCCACTTCCCGGCCACACTCAACACGGCTCCCAATCCGCTTCACAAGCGGGCTCTCCACCATCCCGCTGCTGAACGCACTACGCCACATGCTGCCAAGCCGGGACCTCTGTCTAAATCCCAGTTCAGGCGCCGTAAGCATACCGTATCTGCAGGTATCCGGGAGCGTTTTTTCGACTCAAAGGCTCGAGTGGGGAATGGGAATGAAGGGAGGAAGGAGAGAAAAAAATCCCCGTACAAAGATTGGCATGCAGAATTCTTTGCGTTGAAAGCGCAGATTGAATCCATCTTGCGTGCGCGCAACGAGCAAGCAAACGGAACCCAGGCCAAGACATGTGATACCACACGTTGCAGTCGTCCAATTTATATCAGGGTTGATCCTGGAGTCCGCTTCGAATTTGTGATGAAGCAAGGTTTATTTGTGCCACTGAAAGTGGGCTGCGGGGAAGGATATGGGGTTGCCGATGTGATGGGTAAGTGTGTAGGTATGGGTGGGAGTGGTGGGGAAGAGAGAGGTGGAGATGAAGAAGGGGTTGATAGGGGAACTGGTAGTGAGGAGTCTAATGGTGATGAAATGTCTGAGGATGAAGGTAGTGAGGTGAACGGGTGGAGCGACGGTGGCGATAGCGATGTTGTGGGAACGGTTGAAGTTTGATCTAAAGGCCTTGGAGAGCTATCTTAAGGTGGAATTTGTTGTTGTGAAGTTTCCATTAGCCTCCTCACCTTGTTAATGATAGAGCCAAGTTCAAATATCATCTAACCCACCTAAATACATCGTTGAGCGGCCTTAGAAGCTTCTAGTGTAGCATGTAACTCTTGTTGCACCTGAAGCAAAGATCCCTATCGTGTGCGGTAGGCCTTGGAGGGGACTACATGTCTTTCTGAGGCCGCTTCGGCGCCCAGTGTGGGAGCGAGTTGGGCTGTACTTGGATCCTGGTGTTTCGATGAGCTTGAGACGCTGTGATGTTGGACAGCTAGTGTAGAGAAAGCCGTAGAGTTCATTGTAGGCGTTGTTTTATCCTTGCGTTCTTTAAGTGTTAATTTTGTGGAACATTGAAATATCGAGTTCATTTTATGTATTGTATCTATTTGATTGAAAAGTGCCTCTTCAATTGGGCATGAGAACTCACGTTTCTCACCCTAAGTATGCCTGCCGATTCGTTGATTGTACCAGACCAGATATGATGAGCAAATTTGTTCAAATGCCAAAGGAAGTTGAAACGTGGGGGCCGGAAAGAAATTGACGAGTTTTTTTGTCTAATAGCGATATGTTGTTGGTGGAAGAGTTTTCTCCTGTTGAAAATGATACGCCACATGTTCAATCCCGGTACGCGCTTTCACATGGCCGTAGCAGTCCCCACTATCGTCTTGCGAGAATGAGCAGTCCAGACGCAGCACTTGTTACACATAAAAAGAAAAAGTGCCACCTCTACCGAAGCGGTGAATAGGAAACTAAGATCACGTGAAAGACACGTTCACTTGAATCAGCACTCTGCAACCGAGGATTGGTGCCCAAGATTCTTTTCTACTGCTCAACGGTTGGACGGCGATGCCGACTGATCGTGCCCTGCGCCCTGAATCCATTGGCCATACTTGCTTAAGGGAACCTCACATCATCAAACACCGCTCTTCCCGACCTCGCCACAACCCTCAGCTAAGAAGGGTTTTATCCGGATCATACGTTGGTGTTTCCTTGGGATTCGGTTCCGAGAATCTTCTGGGAAACGTGGGATCGCAACAACGCGTTCAGAATGGACATGCCGTGGTTCTCAGGTCAGCCTTCGAGAGCATTCTGCAGACCTCACATCAAGACTGAAGTTCTGCGCCTCCTACGCCGCAATAGCATGAGTGTTGTGTGCATATTTCTTGATCAACCGTTCGTTCGGGACTTGTGGTTGCATTTCCCAGCACGACGAGGAGACGTCCCGAACTACAACACTTTCGCATCATACGATAATCCCTGAAAGTCTCGCCCCGATGCTTTTCATGCGCTAGCAGTCCTACGGGTCTTGGCTACTATTTTCCACTGATCTACCTTCTTCAAGCTGCATATGCAGACTTCCTTTTCCAGCTAATACAACCAATCGAATCGGCATGCAAATCCGAACCTTCCCACTTCACAGAACAAAAGCTGCCATGCAGATGCGGGTGGATATATCCACATGCTTGGGTAGTATGGTATTCAGAGATGTGACCTGCGCACATGCATAAGGATGGGGTTTCCCTCATAAATTATATCGTCTCTTGCCTCCGCTTGTTTGCGCTTCCCTAAAGTTAAATCAAGATATTCGCCAACCTTTCGGAATTGAACTCAGCCGCTCTGCCGTTGGCCCAACCCCCCTATTCTGCTTCTTTTAGCATGCAATACCCAATCCTGAGGACGCCTCGTCAGACGCCTCGACGCCTCCTTCCATTTACTTATACGGAGAGTGAGATTATCGGAACGTCTGATTATCCTCCATTATCCCCGGTTCCTGCTCCTCTCGGCTCCTCCTCAAGCGCACCAACACATGCCAATTCCTCCAATCTTTCCCAGCCTACTAGTAGTGGGGTAGATCTTGATTGCTTTCTCGAAATCAAAATTCCGTCTGCTGAGGAAGTATCTTTTATTTCCGCTGAGACAAGTCTCAGTCACACGGGTGGGAACTTGTCTCGTGACCAATCCGACCATGGCCTACTTTACAAAATTAGCCCTTCTGACATCGCAATCCTAGCGGACATTGGTATCGGACTTCCTCCTGCAGAGCTTGAAAGTGGCGTCGATTGGGCCTACGTCTACGATACGAAAGGTGTGGCTTGGTTCACACGATTTTGGCGCCCTGATCATGTTAGGAAAGGAGAGAAAATCTGGATCATTCATAGCATCAATGGAAGGATTGGCCGATTTGGGTTGTCTGGTCTGACGCCAGCCGAGTTCTGTGAGAAGGGCAATGATAATATGTCGTTGCACTCCGTAAACAACGACATGACTCAGCCACCTGATCGAGCAGGTGACGGGAATATAAAGGCGATTGTTCAAGATGCTGGCGGGAGAATCGGACGGTTCGGGCCTTCCGGCCTGACAGTTGGCGAAGTCTTCCGTCGCATGACTAGCCATGGAGTTAGTTCCCGACGATCTGAAAGTAATGATACGAGTGGGAGTCACGGAGATCGGATTGAGACTGAAAACGACGCACCGATTGGTCCCGGCATTGGGGAAAGCCTTCACCGATCTGATCGATCTTGTTTGGTTTCAAATGAATTCTCCCAACCCATGAACGATGAAGAGCAAGAAAGCTTGAACTTGGCTAAAAGCCACAAGGCTCCGTGAGGAGTCGAGACAATATTGACGTATGGTCAACCCTGACAAATCTCAGTACTGGATTTTCTTCTTTTCCTTGTTTGCTCCCCACATTGGTCATTTAGTAGTGGTGGCACTGTGCTCTATTTTAGGGATGATTTTGAAGTATGAGGTCGTAATGCTGAAGAATATCATTTATCCACTATTCGCCGAGCACTCTTGCAAGATCTTAAGCTGCAAATAGAGACCAAAACGTGGATCCTGAGGCGACGAAGATGAGTTTTGATCAGGAACAAGTTTTGAGGGTGCCGGTATGTGCATGGGTGAGTCACGCCCTTTTTAGCACCTATGGCCCCATTTCCAAGTCAAGAACGCTTTGCAATACGCCACAGGAAACACAATTAGTGTCAGTGTCAAACAGAATAAATTTCCGGCGCTTAATTCCATCCTCCATCGCCCTTCGCGGCAGGATATGCGCCTCCTGATTCGTCGAAGTGGCGCAGCAACTGCCCCCAACAATATGTCAACGTTTGCACCAACTCGCCCAACACGAGAATTTTCCACAGGCGACCCATCAAGGCTTGGGGACACCCGAATCGGAACGAAAATAAACTCCGGGCGTCCCCTCCACCGTTTAGTGCTGAACCTCAGAGTCGATCACGTTGGTTGAGGGGAGATTCCGCCTATCTCTGTCAGTGAAAGATTACTCGCCCCGCAAGTTTCGACGTTTCGGGATGAGGTTAAAATGGGTTATATTTTCGTCTCCGTAGAGCTTGGTGTGGAGGCCCTACCGGCGCTTCTAATGCATACTAGGTTCTTTTCGAGTGATGAAGAATATATAGTTAGTATAAAGGATGCCAGTCTTCCTGATATTGATGTCTTCAGACTAGTGTTAAGGGGAATAATCACCGCCTCTCCAGCCCAAGCCATCTTCAGCATCTGGTAGGCTTAGAGCCGCTCCACTCAATACAGCTTTTGGCTACCCCTCTAAGTTTTGCTTCAAAATTCTCCCCGCTGCTCTCAAAATGCCCCGCCAGAACCGCTACCACCCTTACACCCGCCAGGGCACCGCGCCGCGCACTCTACCTAACCCTTCTCCCCGAATTCCCCCACCAACGCTCCCCCTCCCCAAAGTCCTTCCTCCCATCTCCGAGCAGCCAACCATCACAACTTACGATCAAACCCTAAACCAATACCCAACCAGCCCATACTATACCGTTCATCCAAGCTACATCCGAGGCATAACCGGCGACGGTAAACCACTCGTAGCACGCTCTATCATGCGAGGCCCAGACGGCACCTTCCATCTCCAAATGGAAATGGTCAGCTGTCCTGGAAAATCACAGCCGATGCGGGAAAAACTTCAACTTCCGAGCTTCAATTTCCCGACTTATGATGCGGGGGTAACGATGCGAGAGCATGTAACTACGCGAGATATGGATGGGATTAAAGTTGAGGAGGTTAGGTTGGTGCGAGGTAGGGTGGGGGAAGGGTCACAATATTCGAGGTCTGAGGGAGAGTATAGTGAGGACACACTAGGGGCCGAGCGCGATGAACGGAGAGTCTCGGGGTGTAGTGTTTAATAAGAGGATTGGCATACATATTAGGACTCAAACGAGCTTGATGCACAAAGACGCCGAGTTTTCCGAGTAGCGATAACGATGGCAGCATCTGGGTCTTTAGCTGCGGCTGTTTCGGGTTTGTATGGGTGGCTGGCATTGATTTTTGAGTTGCGTTGTTGGTCCTTTGCTCTTTCGGCCTTTATCATGCTTCGTCATTCGCCGCTTAGTACAGTGCAGTATTACTATGCTACACTCAATTCCCCTCCAACGCTGAGGCTCAGTTTCTATTATTGCTTCCATGCTTAGCTGTATTGCGCCTTATTTACCGAACTTGGAGCACCCGGACATGACACGAGGTTATTTCGGCACAGAATTTGCATCATTTTGACGCCGTCCTGATTCTTAACAGGCAGAATCGACCCTATTTATGTTCCACGTTATGTGGTAATGTGAGGCTTCTGGTGAAACTTTTGGTAGCCGCAGAGATGAGGAAATGGGTTGATTGCTAAAAGAGTTACTAACGTCCCTCACTGCGTGCCGAAAACCCGCCATAGCTTTCCAACACAACAAGCTCAACAGCGAGCTAAAGAGATAGATATTATCAGGATAGCATCTTTGAATCCTAAATTAATGACTATAGTTATCATATTTTAACAATGGCCTTTCCTTACCGTGCAACGCTACCATCCACCTTGAGCGCAGTCCGACAGCTTCACATCCGAAACCTCGCGACCACTGTCTAGCTAATGCATCCTGCTGAAAAGCCTCTATACTGTAGTCAGGTACGTGATCGTCCTATCCCGAGAGAAAGAAGCCAATCCTACAGATAAATATAGAGTTGTAGCGACTAGAAATTCATCTATGGATTTTAACAAAATCTAGCTAACTGTATCAAAAAAGCTAAAAGCAGCTTTAATGCCTAAGTTCTCCAAGCCTTGCGGTGCCCTTCAAGTAAGGCCCGTATAAGCGATTCACGGGGTGTACACTCAAGCCACATCCAGCTTCACTTTCGTTTCATGTATTGATATCAATCTTCCTACAATGGCTGATCTATTACTACTATGAAATCCCCCTATCAATGCCCGATTGTTCTGCTCTCCATCCAGCTAGTGCCTCGGTTGAATTAGCTGTGAGATGATGAAAATGTCCTAGCACACACGTGCGTGACGAGACACATTCTTCTAGGAGTCTAATTGCCTCTTCATCACGGCCTTGTCCTTTCAATGTGAATGCGAGATTGTTCATGCTCGTCAGCGTGTCTGGATGGTCGGCCCCGAGTTTCTTCTTGC